TACGGCAGTGTTAAACCCAGCAAATAAAGCACACAATATTTCGCAGATGCTCCTGAAATAAAGAAAAACAGGGAAGCAAATTATAGAAACAGCTAATAAACTCCATCACAATATGGATGAAAGCATAATTACCTTTATGCTTAAACTCTTTGGCCAGCAGTAGTCTCGTGGCCAGGGGAAAGGCAACCATGAGCATGGGCACGTACGCTGAGCACAGTCCCTGTTGTGTCAGCCACACCAGGCCGCAGCACCACAGCAGTAAGCTCACATCAAAGTACAGGTCCCCCAGCTCGACCAGGCGCACACCCTGCACCAACAAAACACAGGAAGGAGCGTGTTCTTAGCTTTCAAAGGTCTCCAAAGAATTTCAACCCAAAATAATAATATTGTCATAGATTAAATGTATTTCCAGCATAAACTCACCCCATAATACAGGTTTTTGGCTAGTGTGTGAATAAAGACCATCTTGCCAGTGGTAGCAGCCCCGTAAAGACACACACAGGCATAAAAGTGGTTGTACCAGAACATGGAGCGACCCAACAGAGTAATAAGCAGAGCTACAATCAGCACTGACAACAATGTGACAAACCAGCTCAGGATTGCTACTCCAGTGGCACAGGCCAAATCTCGAACATAACGGCCACCTGAATAGGAGAATTGTCACATAGCTCCTTTATATAGTGAAACAATTCATCAATATTAGCAATATTAAAATTCATAACACCATACCTGCATTGCCAGGCAATGAAGCCTTCTTTGCCAGATAAATGAATGTAGCCGCAGCAACCATGTAGTTAAGAATGGTACCAACACGTGCCGGATAAGCCACTACAACAACTCCCAATAGGTCAAAAAACACCATGTTACCATGGCGATACTCAGAAGCATCAGCCAGTTTCTCTGACATAACCAAGTACTTCAGAACTGCCAAGATGTTGTCACCTAAGAACAGACACGCATCAGGATCAGGACAAAAAGCAGAGGAGCATTATTAAAATAAACAAAATTATTATTTTGATATACATTTTAACCATTGCATATGTCATTTACAGGCACTGCAGGCTCAAGTTTTGTTGAGTAAATATTCTAAGAGATAATCTTAATCTGAGTGGCTGTGGCCTAAAGCATTTTCTCTGTCTTTTCTGCTTCACATTTAGCAGAAGCAGCAACACTCACAAGGTCATGAGACAAAGCACTATTGTTCTTCCGCCTGGTGGGTTATTACCGAGCGCAAAGTGTAGAACTACGAGAGGGAGCGCAAGACAAGCAGAGAGGGAGAAAGTGATATTTTGTGGAAAAATGTAATAATTCTGAAGGATGATAATAACATTGATAATTGATATGTACATAATTAAGAAAACATCTTGGTAAAGTTATAAGGTCATTCACAAATGTCCCTTTAGTCTAGTCTTGCTTTAACTAAAAAGACATGCTTCTTCCCCTTACAATCTTACTTTCCCTTTCTAATAATTAATGCCATTCACAGTGAGGCAGAATGAAGAGAAAATGGTAGAGGGAAGTACAGTATTCTCTGAAAGGAAAAAAGACAACTGTCTGGTGTTTAGTGCTGACAGTCTCGATTCTCTGCAAAGTAAAGCAAAATCCAGTGCAGAAGGAGGCGGTAAATAAAAGGCATTGGCAAAAAAAGTCAACGCATTGGCCTTGTATAAATCTGTGTTTGCATCTGTGCTCCTTTCCTCACAGCAATATACAGTCTGCACAAAGATGGCCAATTTGACTCATTGGGTGGGAAAATGTGTGCACCAAATGCATTTACTTGTGTATGAAGATGACAGAGAAATCCAATGATGTAATATAAATCTGATGACATTTAAGCTGCAGATGTATGCATGGCTGGACTTACCAGCTCTCTGGATTGAGTCTGTCAAAATCCTGTCGGCAGTGTCGTACTTAGTGTGATAGATGAAACCGTTCTCAATAAAAGCAAGGTCAATACCTATAAGCAAGAATATTGAGTTATAATATAGGTTGTAAACTGCAAATTGTTACAAATAGCAATAAATATATTTTTTTTTCCAAACCTGGAATGTTACCAAAGTCCCTATAAATGCGGAAGTCTGTGTCAGAGGGAATAATGCCACTTTGGAAAACTTCCTGTCCCACTACTGATGCAAAGGGATGTTTTGCTGCGTGAACATAGGCCTGGACCAACCATGGGTTTTCAGGACCTTTCAATGAGAGAATGTACAGAATATTAATTAACTATATATAAAAACAAGTAGATTGTATTTTTAGATCAATTTGACTATTGACTTCATATAACCAAGGACTATTACTATTAACCAATGACCATAACCACATAGCAACGCCACACATATATCATTCCAACTAAGGAAACTGGAGTACATGCATTGACATGATATGAGTACCTGTCTGAAAAACTACTTCTTTGCCCCCGACACCAGCAGCTTCCAAGTTAATGAAAGCTCTGACCTGTTTGGCCCATGGATGCTGAGTTATAAAACCATGACTGGCCTGAAAGAGATGTGCAGAAATAAGAGCCAGTAATATATGAAAACATAAAGATCTAGCTGTCGGCCTGTCCATTTATGTTACCTGCAGAATATTTTCCTCCGCCCCATTGAATAAAAAAATAACTCCATGATGTAGAGGGGTTGAAAGGTTGGCCAAGGAATGCAGGACTTCCAACATCACAGCACAACTCACAGCATCATCACTGGCACCTGAAAAGATGGTGAGGTGATATATATTACATCATTGGCTATTTATGTGTTTACTCAAATGGAACAGCTTAATTTTGAAACCAACTGTATCTAATTAAGTCTCAAAATACATTTGTTGGTGATAGCGCCAATGAATAGTGGGATTTTGGACTGAAGAATTTTAGGAATGTTAAGACCTATTTGAATACATTGTTACAAGGGCACCAATACGGAGCATGTGATGGCAGAAAGAATACAGAGACATCATGTGCTATGGCTTTCTGGATTTAGATTTTTTTGGGACAGGTACAATACCACTTATGTAACTATATGTTAATTAACCCCTTAAAACTCTAAGAATGTTATGGACTAGCCCAAAATGTTCAATACAGAATACATTCTGATGGCATAATTTCAGCCTTCACATTGGTTTGTACAATCTTTTTTCTATGTTTTTTCAACTTGAAATGTTTAGAATTCCGAAGATTCAAAACGCCACAGGCAGCAGCAGACATGCTTCCTGATCCACACCTCTTTCCTTTAGATGTATTATGTATTATACATTAGTCCAGAAGATATAAGTCAAACAAACAACTAACCACACTAGTAATTATCTGATTATTAGAACATCTACTAGAAAGATAATAATAATGAACTAAATTAAAATGTAATGGTTAAAATGGTCCAATGTTACAGTCATACATTATTCAGGTTTGGATATTTGGACACCTTAGCCATGGATAGATTTGTAGTACAAACTACAAAACAAACCATGTGTGGAAAACAAGTTCATTATGTACAGAGGCCTTTAATTTACACCAGCAGTGGCTAGGGGGTGCCAAAATACGCAAACAAAAAAGAACACTATATGATAACAAGATATGCAACAACTGATTTGTCAAATGGTGTAGTAAATGTGTAAGACATCTGAGTCATTTGCAACTTTGCAATAACCAATATCCATACTGATGTTTAATAATATGATACAGATCAGCATTAGAAGAGAAACTAGAGAATTAAAAAGTGCAGAAAAGTTTATACCTGGACTATTAGCCACTGTATCAAAGTGACAATTAGCCAACATCAGAAGCTGTGTCCCTCCTTTTGGTTCCAGGCGCACAGCAATGTTAGTGACACGGTCATAGAAGCTGGTAAATCCCCCGAGAAAGTCTATAGAGAAAGAGCCGGTGGGCCGTTGTATATCCACAGTAAGCTGCTGAGGGCCTGCTAAGGTCTCATCACGGATCTTTTCAATCTGCTCCAACAAATATCCCACTGTCAGAACCTCATTCTCTGGGCTGCCCGTCGGCCTCGGCCCAACACTGGTGATCTGCTCCAGGTGCTGTCTAAATTGAAGAGAAGAAAATAATGATAAGAAGGTGCAGTTTGGATAGAAAAATGATATATCTAACATCATAACGAATTAAGCTATTTATTTTCATATTTTGACAGAAAATCACATTGTGCAGTAGGGTCATACATGTTTAGTCACATTGTAATATCATTGTTTCTGATTGTTTATGTTTGTGCCAGCATGCATCTGTGTTAGTCATTGAACATGCTTTAAAAACATAGGTTAGGCTATATATATATATATATATATATATATATATATATATATATATATATATATATATATATATATATATATATATATATATATATATATATATACACATATATTTGACATATATATATATATATATAAACACATATATTTGACTTGGTTGGCCACAGCTGTAGGCAAATGTAAGCTCGCCTTGATCCTGTTAATATATTTCCAGACTAGTTTTCACAGATAATGGTAATACTTTAAAATCTGTTCAGATTATTTTGATACAGTTTCATTAAAAAATACATGACCACCTAGTATGACTGAACTTGTTAAACTATAGTAGGCTGTTTCGAGATTCCTTCTCGGTCCGTATCAGTTCTCTATTGAATTACACGGGCTCCACATCGTTTTGAGGGCCAACTAGGAGTAACTACCTCACACCTGTCCTTTACCTTGGTGGAGGAGATGCTGTCTGTTGGTTTCTAGGCGGGTCTCTTACTAAAGTAGAGGAAAGGTTAGCTGAGCGCTACTACTCCGTTAGTCACAAGTCATAAAAATCTGTCAGTAACCTTGAAGCTTACCTAGCCCGTATTGCGTTAAATTCACCGCTTGATTTCCCAATGACAAGCTGCTGTAACGACAAATGAACAAGTCCCCATAGCACCAAAATAAACACCGACACCAGGGAAGCTGCGAGCCCTTCTCGCAGCAAGTACAAGCTGACTTCAGGCTTTCTCTTTTGGTCTCCGCTGTAGCCATTATCCCCGTATCTGTATTGGGGCACGCTGTTGTCCTGTGCGAAATAATGATTGGTCCCCAGAGGTTTTATTCTCCGGATAGTGGTGTCGCTCTCCATTTTAGAGCCAGCGGCACTGAACTGTCAGCCAGCGTCACGGGCTTCGCGTTTTCGCTGAGCAACCGACGGAGAACATAGAGGGACAAATTTAAAGGGAACTAGAGGGTGAATGGGTAAATGGGCGAATGGGGGAATGGGAGGCTGCAGCTGGTGTCACGTTAGTTTCAGATGACATCACAGCATCCTACAGGCCTGTATGTACAGATGCTATCCAATCTCACAAAGGAAAAGCAGCTTCTTTTCTTTCTTTTTCTTTCTTTTTTTCTCTATTTTAGTTGAGTGGGCCAAGAACGATTTTTTTTTTTTTTTGCGTGAGTGTGAAACAAAATCGCTGTGTTGAAGACAACAATGCACAAACAACAGGAGGATTTGCATCCAGGGATCCAGAATTCCGGATCAGATCTATATAAGTGGATAGGGCTGTCGAGTCATATTGAGGAGCCACTGCTCACAAAGCATTTGACTTCCACCACTGTGTCTGAATACAAGGGCTCAGCTCAGACAGAGACTTAGACAAAGTATGTAGATGTCCAAATAAATAAACAAACAAATAAATAAATAATGGAATGGGTAATGGTTAAGTTATGAAAACTTAACCAATTAATCTTAATTTGAATGTGTTAACATGCTAAGTGCACTTTAAAATTTGAACTGGAGGTCAGGTATATGGCAAAATTGCTGTTTTGTTTGCACATGTATGTATTTTACTATGCTCTTAAAACAAAAAGTGCATAATCATAGAAAGTGGTGCCAATATTCAAGCCCAAAGACATGATTGTTTTCAGTTGAAATGGCAATATAAACCATAATATTAATATGGCATGTTTGTGGAGTCAATTGCAAACAATTAGGCCTGATGGTAAGATTCAACAATTGTGGATTGTAGTTTAATGTAGAATAATTTCTTTCAAAAACAGTGAATTTCCCATGGATTTCTATTGGTCCCTGCCCTCCATCTGAATTATGATATCATCATAATTTAGAGTCAAACCTGCGTGAGATAATTTATATTTTGGAATATTGTTCTCTCTCACACCAAACTGTTTGTATTACCATAGACTGTATATACAATGTATTACGATACAAATTTACAGTGAAATGCAGATTACTACTTAATTTGAGCCAATTCATCAGAATGTCTGTGGGCCTACAAAAATTTGGGTTTGGGCCCCCCACAGGCCAGACCAGGATTGTTTGCACAGCCTTGTCCACTTTACCACACCTGTCTAAAAGCAAGTCCCCACTTAGTTCACGTCAATATTTACCAAATACTGCTAATACTAAGATTTTGGAAGGTAGGTTATAATGCGTTATTAATATAATGTCAGCACTGTTCTCAGGGCTGTTCAAAGCTGGTTTCCGTCAGCATAGGCTAAAAACCAAAAATACCAAACGCAAACAGCGTTTTTAAGTTGTGGCAGCAATTTTAGACATTAGTTATTTACAGTCATTACACCATTGTATAATTTCATTCTTTGACACTTCATATTCAGAATATTTTAGATAGATGGTGTCGAGAGTGACGACCATGGATCTATTAAAGTAACGACAATAGCCCTCGTTAGCTATAGTTGGCTATGAGCTTCCACGGCCCTACTGCGTCAGACTGGCACAATACACGGTTTGCGCTTCCGGTCATATTTCAAAGTAAGAATTTTACGTCATAAAAACATGTTAGTTATGTTGAAGAAATGTTCAAACAATGATAAAAATTACATTAATATGACTATATCAAAGTTTCACTGTTATAAAAGAAACTATGTATCTTTGAAACAAAGGCATTGTGTAGTTTGTTTTAATTTATTTTGAAATAAGATCAGGGTGTGTAGCGAAAGTCTGTACTGTTCAGAGTGACACTTGTGTATTTACAGCACTAGGTCTTTGGTCTTTGCCCGTCATTGCGCAGCTGAGCAAAAGCAGAGACAAGTCCGTTCGTGGTGTCTCTACCCGAGGCCGGATGGTAAAATCCAACCTCCAGCGAATCCTAAATAGTCATTGTTTTGCTCGTGAGAAAGAAGGAAAAAAACAGCCCATTGCTACCATGGCCGATCTTAGTAATAATATCTGTGACATGATTGGGAAGTAAGTAAACAGTTATCAAGCTAACTGCTAACCTGCTATGGGGGAGGGGATGTGTTAGCTTTTCTAGAAACCACAGTGGAGCGGAAGTTGTTTACGAGTTTTATTTACTTGTCATGGTGCAATTTAATCTTTTTACATATTGTAGCGGTGCATTATGGCAGCAAACTTAAGTGTCACTATAGCTTATCCTTATAATACATACATAAGTCTATATAACTGCTTTGTTTAAATTCAACCCTTAATAACTAAAGCGTCAACACGTAGAGGTAATCTTAAACCGCGTCCCTGTATTTGTAAATGATGTGCACTTGGTTGTCCAATGTTGGTGGAGGCTATCAGTACTGTTATTTGATTTAAAGCAGTCCAAGTGAACAATTTTGGACGTTATGCAATAATGGTGGTTGGTGAAAGACTAGATATTCTAGCATAATGGAATAGTCTGCTAATTGTCTATATACGTCAATGACTCTATTTGGTATCCTACAACGTGATCCTGATGTCTGTTTTCTCTACTGCAGCCTCTCCCTGCACTGTAGTAGTACCCGTGGCCCAGGGCCTCTGTGGTGCTCCTGATGCCCCTCTCCCACCCCTGAAGATCCCAGGTGGGCGAGGGAATGGCATTTGGGATCACACTCCTTCAGCTCAGCCACTCTACTCAGTAAGTGACTGTTCCCTGTTTTGTTATGTTGACCATTTTTAATTCAGGATTCTTTAGGTCCTGTTAATGTAAAACAACATGTTTTCTTTACTAAGATTTCATGTTTCTTTGTTCCTAGGATCGAAAGTTGACTGTCACTGAGGAACCAGAAGGGAGCGGTCGCCCAAGGATACTGCACTTCCAAAGTCGACCTATTGTTACCAAGACAATACAGTGGGATGCTGTCCTGAGCAGCAGTGCACTCTATGTGGAGATTCCTCTTGACCCTCTTCCTGAAGGCAGCAAGGAGAGGTGAGGTCTATTAAGTATCCATTTCAAAGAATAGTGTTGGTCAAAACCATTTAAACAGTATGTGCAATTGCACTGTTGTTTACTTAACTACATTTCATTCTTTTTCAGTTTTGCGTCTCTCCTGGAGTACGCTGAAGAACATCTGAAAGTCATTAGTGTGTTTGTCTGCTTTTACAAGAATAGAGACGATCGTGGTATGTGCTATAGTTCTTTCCATTAGTCTCTAAAGACTAAATGTAATTGTAAGAACAGTAACATGTTTTTTGTTCCTATCCCTGCAGCTAAACTTGTGCGTACCTTCAGTTTTCTTGGCTTTGAGATTGTGAAACCAGGCCATGCCCTCGTCCCACCTCGACCTGATGTTTTTTTCATGGCCTACAACTTTGACAGGGACTCCTCAGATGAAGAGTAACCGATTGGATGTCCAGTCATGGTCACATGCTTTTTCAGTTTTTCTCATCTCAACTCTTTTTGGAGTACTCAGTGTTTTTTGTCATTATTGTTGTTTGGCTTTTTAATTCCTGAGTTTGTGTTCAAGGGAAAACTTGGTGTTCTGTTAATCCATTTGCCCTTCTGTTTTAGTATAACTTAATCATTAAAGAAACTGTTATCACTTGCTGCAATTTCTGTTTTTATGCATAACACTAAGGTCACCAAGATTTTTTTTTTTTTAACATTTCAAATCAGGTCGAAGATTATTCATTTCTTGATCATTCTCAGGTTCACATTGTCACCATTAGCCATGATTGGCTTATGGGGAAATTAAGTTTTTGTCAATGACTTTTAGCACAGTGTAATTACTTTTCGGTATAGACAGCAGTTACTGTTGCATAATTGCTTAATTTACACAAAAAGTAGAAGGTGAATGCAAAATCTGTAAACAATTTGTTTATATGTTGAGTAGGCCTCAAAAGTGCGAATTCAACATATGGCACTGTTTTTTCTGATTTGGATTATCGTTCATTTCCAGGTTTTCAAGCTTTGTTGTTCACTTGCATAGTGGTACTTTCTGTAATAATAAAACAAAGAAATGGGTGTGTCTTCACTTATCTGTAGCTAAGAATTTATGGTCCCAATAAAACACTTTAAAAATCTGATGATTTGAACCGTACATGTACAGTAACATTTTGAAAAACAGTTAACACATTTACTATACACTCCAGGGCCTTAAGGGCATGTCAATTCCAAAACCAAGTTATATATTCATCTTTTCCAATTTGGGTCAAATATAGATCAACTTCAGTCCTGAACAAAAATATAAAATGCTTATATTTTTTTTTAAGTCATTTTGTGTGTTGATGGTACATATCAGCCATTTAGTTTTTGCAAGTCCCATCAAATGTTAATATATGTCTAATTTTACTGAGATCTCAGCCTCTCAAAATGTTATATGTAATTTAAATACTAACTGGTTGGCTGGCTGGTAAATGGAAAATGAGAATGGCAATCACAAGGCTCCAGCAATCAATGGGAAGAATATGTAAAGGTAAATTTTAATCTGCTATACAAAATGAAGATCATACAAAAGTATATTAAGTATTAAGTGAACTGAAAAGTACATTGACGTTCAAAGCTATCAAAAGAGGACAAGGATATTTTTCAAATGTGTGAGTTAAAATGTAATCTGATGCCACATAAAAATTAGCAACACCTCAAAGTCCAAATGTTCCACCAATAACCCTAAAACAAATATACAACACATGTATATGTGAAAATCATGTTTACAAACTGTCAATTATGGTAAAACCCTTTTTAACATTTGACATATTTGATGAGGACTGAAGCTGATTTTGCTGTAGTGGATAAATGGGTATGGTAAGGTAAAGAACAATGCTCAAAATCCAGAATCTTTTATGAATGACATTGTGAAAATTTAATTAGTTTAACTCATAATTTCCAAAGGTGACTGTAGCTGTAAATGTGCTGAGCAAAGTAAGCAACTACATGAAACAGCATAAAGGCGTAAGATTAAAAACTTTAGAAATATAGATGCCTTTTTCAAACATGTCCCAGCCCATGAAGCAAAAGATTTACAAGACATCTGTAAATACGGCAGATTCACTGTAAGCAGAGGACAGGATACAATTAGTAGCTTGTCAATAAAAAAAAAAAAAGAACAATCTGATCAAGATTTAACAACAAAAAATTATGCGCATCACATTTGTAAAACAAACGATGGCAACTGATCTAGCATATTTTGAATGAACAAAAATGAATGAACAGTCCACCAATAAATTATAATCTTTGATTTAAAATATTTCAAACAAAAAAACTTTAGTTCATGATTGTGTAAGCACTTTGGGCAGCTTTTGTAAGCTACATGTATGTGTGTTAAATATGTTCTAGCTCCCATGTTAATGCATTTAATGTACCCTACTGACTGCATGGTGATTCATTTTAGTTACCGGGGGTATTTTCCAATGAAAACACTACAAACTGAAGGACTCAGGGGTCAGAAATTTAAGTGAAACTTTTAGAGCTATGTACAAAATGTACATATTTGATGTGATCTGCCATCACATCTTATGACAGTAACAGGGAAAAAGACAATTGAAAATTGAATGAATAAGATTAAAGTATTAACACCTGTAACAAGAACAGTCCTTGCCTATCGATACAAGGGACAACTAAATGACGGAAGTGGAGCTCCTCAAAATGACAAGGAAGAGCTATTTTACAACTTGGGTTTACAGAATAATTGGTAGTATAATCTAAGAGGACATGTGGGAAACTAGAAATCATGTATTAAAACTTGCGGTACACTAAATGTATGCAGGTTGGTGTGTATTTAATCTTTTTGGCAGGTAAGGTGCAAATATATAATTTTTTGTCCTATTTGTCAATTTGAATATAAAGGAAAAGTAAAAAAAATATTAACTTTAACTGGTCAGATTCATTGTGGTGGGTGTTTTTGTGCGCTCATAATTATGTGCATTAGGTCAGCAGAAGTAGGGAGCTTTAAAGTGTCCTTTGCAAAAAACAAATTCAGGCTGGTGACGTTAATGGAGACTGTCCATATCAACAGATAAAGTTACTCCCGTATGAGGTTGTTTGTGTATGAATGAATGTATACATAAATGACTTATGATTTATGTACAATTACAGTCCAAGTACTTCATATATATGCAAAGCATTTTAGCTGAAGCTTTTAGTAACTGATAGTATACAAGGGCACAAAGGGGTGCTTAAGCAAGGGCTATGTACAACGTGCTGGTTGATTGACTTTATCGGCCTTTGCTGTAGCCAGGAAAGAACTGGTCAAGCAGAGTCTGAAGCGTCTGGTTTTGGGACATGTTATAGTCTTTCCCCAAATCATGACGACAAGCGGGACAAGTGTACACCTGCGCTCGAAACGATCGTTGCAGGCAGGCCTAAGAAGAGGCACAGACAAAATTAGGTCAAAAGCAAAAGACTAGTGAGAACCCATTACTTCATACACACCTTACAAACATTGTGTGAGCAGACTGTGGTAATAGGCTGGAAGGCCAACTCTTGACAGCACAAGCACATAAAGGACTGCTCCAGTTTACTCAGAAATTTCTAATTATACACAAACAAACCAAACACAATTATTTGTGTTTTAATGGACATTGGAATTTAGTGCAGAAATGCATGTGGATAACATACTGGTCCCTCTTTGAGATGCTCCATAGCTTCATCCCACAATCTTCTGTTAGCGGCGTCATCCTGAATTAACCTTTTCTGCTGTTCGGACAGTTGGAAAGCCTCTTCTACCTTCACTTGCTTTGAAGGGGGCTCTTCTGATGAAGACAAAGCTAATGTAAGACAAGCATAAAAGTAATTAAAAAAGCACTGAACAAGAAACAGATGTGTATAAATTAACTATGAGTGGTCCAACCGCAATCTTCTGCCTCCTGCTCATCTCCATTGCTTTGCAATTCATCATCATCCAAACACGCGATCAACTGTTCTTCATCGTCTTCCTCCTCATTCTCCTGTTTCTTCTTGAAGGAGCGTCGTCTCCTTCCCCTGCCTCTTCCAGAATAGCGTCTATTGTTTTTCCCACCTTGACCAGGTCGGGCAATGGCCTCTTTTCGGGTTTTGTTAGCCATGGCTGCAAGGTATCCTGGTGGATACTGTTTAGGAGTACAAAGTAAAAATATATTTCTATTATGCACAGAACAAAGTGTACTGATTCATCATCTAAAGAAAATATTTCAATCAAACCTGCACTGTAAGCCCAAGTTTCTTGGTCCTCTCAAGACCTTCTGGTGTCCATGGGGCTGGCTCCTGGTCATCACGTCTTAACAAGTACCGCCATACAAGATAACCACATTTCCCAACTTCAGGCCAGTATTTTACCACCTAGTTACAAATGTCATATATTAGTCCATGTGGTTCATTGTTGCTAGATCAGCAGTTATCCTGTGTGATATGTCAGTTTTGTGAAGCTGCTGTGGGTGAGGAAATTATTTCCAACTGTTGAGTAAAAAATATTCTACAATCAAAATATTCTGTAATGAAAGTCCTAAATGTTAGTGACTAATACTCATATCCAAAGCCATAATTGCTTTGAAGAGCTGCTTATAAATGATGTGAATGCAGGTTTGTGTTATCACCAAAGCGATTTCAAATATAAACCGGGAGCTAAAGTCACTCTGTATTTTATGTGGCCAGGGCTGAGTAATAAACAAAATCATCTTTGTTTACCTTATAGATACCATCATATCGGTTGCCTTCCTCAGGAGCGTACTGGCTAATACGTCGACCCTTAGAGCTGCGTACAACTCTCACTGGTTTTCCAGCTCGCCAGTTCCTGGACTCTGCACCAACTTTGTCATCCAGAGGGGCATCACAGTTTGAGGCCAGAGCCCTATTCACAAATAAATGAGGTCTGAGCTAAAAGTTAAAAATATTTGATATACTTTATTTTAGTTTGAAATATAATTGCACATTAAAAACACAACAGTTCTGCCCCTCTCTTACCACCTTTCATAGAGTCTCACCCTCTTTTGTCAATGTCCCACAGCAGCCTTAGACTAAAGGGTAAAAGTTAAAACCCATCCCTCTCATGCCACCACTCAGGTAGTAGGTCTGTCTAAAATTTAGTTTGAGCCTTACAAATGATAAAACATTATTTTTCTCCACTTCATCAAATTGTATGGTACTATTGAGTATCAATGATGGTATTGATGATTGTGTGCCTTGGTGAATATTTGTGTAATGGATGATATATTATGAGTTTTTGGGCCCTATCTTGCCCCCGATCTTAGCTCTAGCACAAGTGTGGGGCGTGGAGCTCCAAACAAGAGGTGTGCTGTGACTGAATAACAGATGGAGTGGAGCAGATTGAGGGCATTCAGTGAATTTCCAGAATCGTAAAAATCAAACTAGTCTACTGAAAAACAAGGTGTAACATGGTCAAGGCTTCTTTCATTTAGAAATATATTAGGATGATAAATGCTTAACATTCATTACATGTTCGTGTGCATGCAGGATGCACGTGCTCCATCCAGATGCCCTGCCGCAGCACAGCTTAGCACTGCTCTATAGTTAGGTTTGATCTTGATCTGTAAAAAAGCCGCTCATTCACATGAGGCCATTTACACTGCTGTCCTAATGTGTGTTTTCTTACCCTATCTGCGGTTCTAATGCCGCAATATCAGATTTCCTCTCTCCCTTTTTGTCATCAGCTCCACTAGACTACCATCAGAACCACAGAAAACTGCTTGGGCCGTGGAGTGGCTGGACTCTGACAGATCAGCGCGCACATTCACTGACAGCTCAGGACTGACAGTGGAGCGGACACACGTTTTGTATGTGCTGAATCCGTGTATCATTCGTTCATTCGTTTTTCAATATAAAACCAAAAATAAGAAAACGAAAAAACAACAATTTTCTTCGTTATTTGTCTCCAAAACCAAAATGAAAAAACGGACAACGATTCGTTTTTTAAGTTTTCGATTTTGTGTTTAAATGAAGAATGGAAAAAACGGATAACGGCCGTTTCCCGTTTACGTGACTTCCGTGACTGCGATGCCGGACTTTTGCACCGCATACGGACTGAATCAGGACGGATCCAGGTCCGAGACCAGACCGAGACCAGAGCAGGACTGAGACCGGGACAGAGCTGCTCTGGTCCTCCGCGCTCAAGAACCGCGGCTGGTTCCGAGGTGGTGCAAAGCCTCCGACTGACGCATTCACACCAATGAAAATGAATCGAAGTAAGAGCTTTTGGTTCAAATGGACCAGGTCCGGGACCAGACCGGGACCAGAGCGCCGGGGCCGGAGCTCGGGTCTCGGTCTGGTCTCGGACCTGGATCAGTCCCGGTTCAGTCCGTATGCGGTGCAAAAGTCCGGCATCGCAGTCACGGAAGTCACGTAAACGGGAAACGGCCGTTATCCGTTTTTTCCATTCTTCATTTAAACACAAAATCGAAAACTGAAAAAACGAATCGTTATCCGTTTTTAAATTTTGGTTTTGGAGACAAATAACGAAGAAAACTGTTGTTTTTTCGTTTTCTTATTTTTGGTTTTATATTGAAAAACGAATGAACGAATGATACACGGATTGGTGCTGCTCTCTTGGCAGCAGCGCTCAGTAGAGCTTTGTCTAGCAGCTCAAAAAGTGAATATGCACTGCTCTGTACAGACCCCTGCACATCCTGCTCTGTGTTCTGATGGCGCATATCAGTCACTTGTGCGGGGCAAATGCAGGTTGTGCAGTCACCCTCCCCTTGTGTTAATGGTTTTATCCATATCTGTGCGCAAAGCAAAAATAAAATCAGAAACATTTATATGACAATAAATGCATTCCATAATCCACGAGACATCCACCTGTGTGGGACCAAATGCAATGGACACCCATGAGATGAGAATGTGAGCGGTCAACAGTTGCAGCAGTAGAAACCTGTATCTCAGGTGAGAGATGCGGGAGCGGACTGCCGAGACAGGTGGGCGCAGGTGCGACCAGGGGGAGAGAAGGGGTCAGCAGGTCTGCTGTGGGTTGGGGAGCGCATGAGATAGACACTGGTCTACTGCGTAATAAATGCAGGAATGCACAGAAAACTAAAAAGGGTAACGTGTGTGTATACGGGCATACAGGGGTGCGTGCAGAGTGTTCAGAACAAACTCAGCCAGTTCTGTCACAGCCCATCCAAAATTCTATATTCCTGGTGCCTCTACTGGTGCGTACTGGCATCACAGGGCTCTGAAGTTGTTTTATTGTACCCATATATCAATTTTCCCCACACCCTGCTTTGCTGCCTGGTAATGAGGCAAAGATTGCAGACATTACCTAAACTGGCAGTGACTTAAAATGCCACAGTGGTCATCACCATATCTGTACCTGTACCATCCCAGCCTCCAGCAGTGAAGTACAGCCCGACCTGGACATACCCCCTTGTTAACGCTAGCGCTTGCTCTAAGATTGGGAGCAAGATAGTGCCATTAATGTTTTTAAGATGATGGATTGATATGTGAAATCATGAGAGCATAGATTCTGTCATGATACAGACTCATGACACAGTTTCCCTGTTATAGTGCTACAGTTTTGCTTGTTTAGTGGCAGGAAAGTCATTTATGCAACACATTTGACATTTTCACTGTTTTGATTATTAAAATGGGTGTTTCATATCAACTTTTCACAAGAAGTGGTTTAACAAAGACTTTTACTATCACAGCTATCATTTAGCTATTATTTTTATTGAACTGTATCGAATTGATTTGAAATCTATCATATTGAATCGAAAGTCCAGTGTATCGAGATATGTATCGTATTGAGGCTTATGTATCAAGGTATGTATCGTATTGGCAAGTTCTTAATGATACCCAGCCCCAATAAGAACAATACATCTCCACACAATCTAGCAGACTCTAGAACAAATGTACTTATAACCTCTACCTGTACGCTAATTAAAGTGCCAGTGGGAACGGACTGGTGAGGATGATCTCCTACTCTAGCCATCTGCTGCACTGGAGTGCAAAAAAGTAGATCAAATCTTGTTAACTTGGGTGTTCTTTTCTAGGGAAAATGCTACTTTTTTCTCTCACAGATTTACACAGTTCGGTAAACAATTATAGATTAAAAATAAAAACAACTTCGAAGTATTTTTACTTCTGCTACTTCTTTTAAGCTTTGTATAATGTATTAATTTGTAATTAAGAATTGTTTAGCTTCCCTGTGCAAAATGCTAATTAAATAAATCAAAAATTATCTTATTACAGTTAACCAGAATCTATTCCCTTTCTTTCTGTAGTTTCTGAATCAGAAGGCATCCATTCATTTTGTTCTCAGTCCATCTATATGAAGCATTTTTTTCCCATACTACGCTAAAAATCCACTTATCTGTGAAATATTTCAAGAGTCAAACCGGTTTTGTTTTTGTTTTGTGGTAGCGGTAGTAGTGGTAATAGTAGTAGTGAACTTCCCCAAACTATGAAGCTAAACTCCTTCAATAACAGAAAATTGTTTAGTCAGTAGTTCAGTGGCAAGCTTAAGGTTGGGATGCTATTCTATTCTTTGAGCCACTGGAAGCTCAATATGTTAAATTCTACAAATGGATTTTACAGATGTACCTGTTCATATGAGTAAGAGTCTGGTCAAAACAATGTTCCCCAATCCGCTTGTTTCCCGACAGATCTCGACCGCCACTGCCTGTGTATGTGAACTCATCTCCCCGATCCTATAACAAAAGAAAAGTGGGGACTCAATATAATTTTACTACAGTACAATAAATGTTTGCATGAAGCATTTCTATAAACCTCAGAGCAAAGGAGATGTTTTTTCTGAAATCAAGCTACCCTTAAAAGAAACATTGTGTAACTTTTCTGGTAGAAAAGTTGTTTCTATGGATGCGTCATTGCTCTGCCAGGAATATTCCACAGTATAATATTAAACAGCTCTATCTTACATTTATTAAATTACAAGTGGTTTTATAACTCAAAAATACATAGAAAAACAGGTATTCTGACTGTGAGCTCTGAGCAGGGTTGCCTCTCCACAGATCTGACCTGTGACTTGGTCTGATTTGGTCTCCATGATGATAAAGGTTTAATGCCATACTGTGAAACATTCTAGAAAAAGCAATAACATTTCCATGGAGAAAAGCATTTGTCGGCCCCTCCACCAGAAAAGTTACACAAGGCACCTTTAAATATGCTTAAAAAGAAATTAACTTCCTGTTAAAATCTTTTTTTTTTTTAAATATGAGGGGAACTCACCACTTCATCTTCAAAGCCACCAGCTAGTACCAATGAGTAGGCACCATCGTGAACGCGCCCATGGATCCCACCAACATGAGGTCTGTGAACACCTGCTTCGCTTACCTGATATACAATACAAATACAATAGTAATTGATGAATTAGTTTTCATCCCTTTTTATTTCATCGAACTCAAGCAGACCTGTACTCTGAACTTCCAAGTCGTTCCAACAGGAATTCCAGGAACAGGTCCATAGTGAGTTGGCGGAACAATTGTACACTCCTTAGTTCGCCCAACACAAGCCATACCCTGAAATAAAAAAGCAGGTAGGATTTGAATACTGTAAAGGAAAACAAGTTGGAATTAAAATAAGATCACAATTTCATGTAGTTAATGCCAAGAGTAAAAGATTTTTTGTCCCACTAAAATAACAATATTTATATCTTTGAGAAGATGGGCCTGGTTATGGATTACTAGAGAACTATGGATTCAATGACCCTTGCTTTTCCAAGAAATACTACCATGTTGACCCTTCTTACTTTTCTACAAGCGGCATTGTGCTATAGCACAAAAAGAAAGTGCTCATTCTGGTAAAAGATGTTGCTATAAATTTGTGACTCACCTTCCCCCAGTCCCTTTGACTTTCTGTAGTTGCTGAAGGCATTTTAGCCCTCTTTTTGCTGGCTTTCAGTTTTTCTCCTGCTTTTACAACCTCATTTGTGTCATTCTTACAAGTGGGGCAGTACCTAGGAAAAAAATACAAAAAAACTGTGAAATCTGAAATCTTATTAGGTTGCGAGAACAATTATTGAAAAAATATGCACTTTTTCCCCATGTGATCTCTTTATTGGCTTACCAGTCCTCGTCATCAGGGATGGTGGACAGTGGTGGGTTTAAACAGTAGATATGAAAGGCCATGTTGCACTCATCACACAGTAACTGCATGTGTGCATCCTGCTTCCCACCACACACACAGCAGGAACAGAAACGACATTCTGCATCAGGATCAGCCTTGCAGTGCTTACACTCTGGTCCACTTTTACCTTGAGTGAGGGGATAATATAACTAAATGACACAAAGGTATCAAATTAAGCATTGCAGCAGGACTAAACCTACGTTTAAACTGCCCATCGGCAGCTGAAAGCGCACGAGCACCCTGCTTCTCCACTTGGTAGATTTCATCCAGGAACTGAATCTTGCAGTCTTCAACAACATCTCCCGGGCCTCTGACGAACCCCCCAAAAAGAATAAAGGGAGCAAAACTGTTTATCAAATAGGTACAAACAGTATGTGCCTGCATTACGGTTAAGCAATTAACAATGACCCTTGCTATGGAAGCTTGGGTCTTTGTCTGGTTTATGTTAAAAGTGGGAATAAACAACATCCCCCCACAATTTGTGATTTGATATAAGTGTCTTAATAATGGGTCATGATTTTGATGTGTTTTAGGGCTCCGTGAGGAAAAAAACAAACATTTCCTCTATTACCATATTTGTATGATAATTATACACAAACATAACATTTCATTCATATACACTATTGCTTATCTATTCAAATATAGCATAATTCCTTAGAATTTTCCTCATTTTATTGTGAGGGTTTTATTTAATTATTCAATATTACATCGAGTATTCTTGGATCATTAGCGTAGTCTAGCCTGACTAGCAGAAACACTTCAAACTCCACCCCTGTAGGCAGGTGTCTCACTGATGTCACAGGCCTCCTGAAATGTAATGGCCATTGGAGACAGCACACACTCATTGTGTTATTGACAGTTTAATGCTGCATTAATGTGATCTTGGAACCTCAGAAAATCTGACCTCCGACAGGCTTGAATATCAACTTGGGTCAGAATATTGACTCTGAAACTTGCATGAAAACTCCTTACAGAATTTATGTCACAGGGGGAGTTTGTTTTATATTACACAGACCGTTGTTCTCCGCAAATAAAACACATAAACCAAATTTGAGCAATTTGCCAACAAAAAACACACAACTTCACTATCGCAATAGTAAGATAATAAAGTTAATGTATGTTCTTGTTGCTGTGATTTTAGAAAGACACATGATTATGTAGATATCACATGAATGCAGCATTAGACCTCAAATCTACAAAGTAACCTGTTTGGACTACAACTGCAAAAAGTGACTAGAAACTATAACAATGCTTACAAAAAAGGTCCAATTATTTCCACTGGACAAAGTTTGACCAGTTGACATGTGTCCAGTAGTCCCACTGTAATTAATTAGTTAAAGTTTCCACAGATGTTATAATAATTAACTGTGGAAACTGCTGAAGTATTTTTGTGTATATGCAACAATAAAAAATTAAAACAGCACTTAGGTCTTCACCCAATAAGGATCTTGACTCGAAGTTCTTTGTTTGTCCGAGATGTTTGGTTGAGGGTCTGAATCTCTGCATCAAACCAGAAGCCCCTCTCCTCTGGAGTCTCCATGTTGTAGTTGACCATCACAATCATGCCTTCTTGAAGCTGATCCCATCTTAGTAATGTCCGAGCACGAGGTCGCACATTGCATGGGTACATTTCAACCACACCGTTTTCTGGGTAACTTGGGAGATGGAAATAAATGTTAAAAGTTGAATTGTCATTCATAAGCAGATATTTTACCCAAGAGAATTTGATTTTACATATCCCACAAGCAGCATGGATATAGACAAAAAGTAGAAAGAAGACAAGTAAAATAAAGCAAAAGAGAAAGTAAAATTAAGCTAATACAAAAGTGAGATTTTCTTTTGTGACAAAAATATTAGGAAATTTGAAATCCAGATCATTTTGAATTTCAAGATTTCAAATACCAGGTCTTGCACATACAGCGGTATCTCATGCTCGAAGGCCTTACATAACTCAAGAAGAAGAAAGACAATAGAGATAAATCTCACATTGTAGTATGTGGTTTAAAAAGTCCTCCAACCATCAAGATTAAATATTCTTACAAAAATGTTACTCAATTTTAAAAGATACAGTGGTTAGAAACTTTATTTTGATATCACTAATATTTACTATTAATCATATTAACACAGCAGGTGCATCTGTAGTTTTTGTGTCTCATTACAGGTTTGTTAAATTAATAAATGCACCACAAAGTTGTGTTGTGGATGTGGTTAGTTACTTACTCATCATATTTAATGTGGTAAATGACATCCTGCCTGGTTTCTGTGGCTGGTGAGTCGGTCTGAGAGGTAGTGGCTCCATTGCTCTCTGTGTTGAAAACATTGTTATTCCTGTTAGAGTCAATGCTCAGGCTTTGGCCCAGCTCAGCTTCCAGCTTTCCGTTAGTCCTTTTTGAGGGCCGACCTATCTTTGCTTTGGCAGGAGCAAGTGTCACATTTTCAATACAAGCTTCAAACCAAGCACCGATGCTGACGTCTCTGCAGTCCACCAGTTCATTAATCTGAGAAAACAAAGACATTCTACGTGAAACTTGAAAAACTAAATAAAAATGTAATTACTCTAACATGTATCTCTAGACCTAATACCTATTAACATAGCTCTATATGTGCACCAAAATATAAGATATAATAACCCATATGTTTACTATTCTCTACAACGAAAAAATAGTTTCATTCAACAACTCCACAGCTTACCTTATAACATCCAATCCCTGCATTAATGAGCATGCACCGACTAGAGGAGGGTGGTTGCGAGTCTTGTGCCGGGTTAGATTTAAATCCATTGTTGGTACTTGCTTGATCACTTGTGTTTGGTTTGACTTCACCATTATTGTCCTTACTGGTTTTCAGAGCAATAGCACTGGCTGAGGCTTTGATGTCACCCAGAGAGTTCTTGACATCAGGGCTGTCTGCAGTATCAGACTGTGCACGAATAAGGAGTTGTACAATGTCATTTAGACCAACATTGTAGTCAAACAATGTTTGGCCATCTTCCATCTACAAAGAAAGAATACATATTTATTACTGCATGTGAGTCAACAACAATCTATGTGCACAGTAAGCTGTTCTTTGATTAAAAAGTTGATTAGAGTACTACATTTTTTACATACAAACTGAACAGTGTTAGTGGCTTTCAAATTAAGAGAAGGCTGCTAATCTTATTTTTGTATTTTCAGTAAAATGACCCATGTTTTGACATGTAGGTGGAAAAGGTACAGATTTAATTTGTTATTGTTATTGTCCAGCCCTTCTCACACAACATATTGACATAAGCATATTGAAGATGGTGAAGCTTAAAAAATATTTGATTTAAACAAAAAGAGGATATAAATTTACTGAAAGAAATGATCAGGTTACTATGGCAACTCAAAGAGACCCCCCCTTCTCAGACCGTATAATCCACCAAAACCATAATCTTCAATGCAACTCATAGAGCCCATAACCATTTTATAATATAAATACAGCAGTCAATTGTAACTACGATATACTGCAAAACACACCACAACAATCCATGATTGTTTTGCATATGAAACTGCCCTCCAGCTCATTGTGCTGCAGATCCAAGTATGGCCACCGCTCACACTTCTCTAATTTGTGATTTGACAGCAGGAAGCAGAGCTGTTGAAGCTGTGCAGTGGTGGAGTAGCGGTACAAATCAAAGAATAAAGAACAAATGAGAAAAAAGTCATATTAGCATCATAGTAATGTAATACAATCACTAAACAATGCTTCTAGAGTCTTTATATTTAAACATTCATAAAGGACACGGCAATATATGATGAATAAGCTTCAATCCAAGGGCCACAACATGATGTATAATCAAACTTGCTTTGAGATATCTATGTAGAAGCATGATGACAGCAAAGTAGCAATGACACTGTACAGAGTGCTGCTGACATGTTGGGCACCTTGCAGATCTTCTATAAAGATAAATTCTGTTTGTGTATATTAGTGCCTATGGAAAATTATATGTGGATGTGCAAATTGAACATGAGAGACTGGGAAATTTAAAAGCAAACTTGAACACCAAAAACAATACCAAAAGCAGTATCACTGAATGAACATGCCTCTCTTACAGAGGCAAAAGGCACAGCAAGCAAAAGGAAGAAATGAGACGCCATTTTGAAAAGGAATTTTCTTTACTCCTCCTAGTCTACACTACATGCATAAGCGCACCAGTTGCTCAGCTTGTTTGTCACAGATTTTGTTAAAAGCATTATCACAGAAATCCCACTAATGATCCAAAGAGATAAAACTGTACCGAGCATTTAGTACAGGAGCCAAGCAACTGCCCAGGGGTCTGAACACAATTACCTGACTGTAAGTTTAGAATACAATACAAACCAACAAAAAGAAAGGAAAGAAAGAAATCTAATTCATGGTGATATAGTGATATTGTGATTCAGTTCTCCTCTGTTTAAAGCAACGTTATGCCTAAACACACTTTTACACACCCACTCTTATTTGTCAGCCTGGACTTTCCTGCATTCAACACTCGAGTGCACTGAAAATGTATGAATTTTTTTTCACCCACTGCACTCTACTTCCCACTTCTCTATACTTAGTTATTGCTTAAAAAATTCTGACTCCGGGTCAGACATGGAGTTCAGAAGTGTCTCGCAAACATTTTTTCAACAATAAAAACAAGTAAAAGAAAATCTGCTTGCTAGAGTGAACTCTATCATGAACTCAGCAATTTTGAACAGGTCAATGGACTTAAAACAAGAAGGGCGAGTGCATCAATGGGTCAAATAAATGTTACGTAGGTGCTCTTCGAGGATCCATGGGATAAGAAGACCAAAAAAAAGAATAGGAGATCCAAAGCACTCTAATTTACAAGTCTTTCATTTAGGAAAAGTAGACATGCTGATGCGTTTCGATGGTCTTCCTTGGGTCATGTCAATAAACTTGTTTCTATTAATAAGCAGTTCCAGTTAACAAAATGTAATGTAGATGTAATAATAGTCTATAACCAATGTTATAATTCCTACCTGAAAAACATATGTATTCTTTAAACATCCTTGCAAGGCAATGTGCAATATGCATCAACTATTATTGGGGAAATTTTAAAAATGCTCAATACATGTGATGGTAAATTAATCATTACAGCATGTATCTCTTGGCATGCTGTAGACTCCCTTAAAAAGGCTAACCTGTTTTTATTGCAATAAAGGTTAATGTTAATTCTGTACCTATTACCAAAAGCATTTCTATTATTAAAAAAAAAAAAGTATTATACTTTATGAATGAAATACAAAATATTTTAATGTAGACTCTTGTTTATGGAGTGGTTTGGTTTGTATATAGCACATTTGATTATTTAGTTTTTTTCTGGTGCTTAGTAATAATAATATAAAAAGATCACCATTTTACCTTGTTTTATGTAAACAGCAACAGTGATCTAAAATTGCTAACAGAAATGGGCAATACTGACTTCCTTTTTTAAACTGCAGAACTGCATTCATAGGGACATAAAAACAATCAAAATCAACTGTAAGAAAAAAAGTACTTTTGACTGACCACATCATCAGGGCCTAAAATCTCTGCGTCCATATTTTAGATATATATATAGATGACAAGAAAATGAGGGAGACAAGGGAGACAATATGGAGTGATGACATCCAATATAAACATCGCTGGGAAGTGCACAGGCTTGGCAAGGCAACAGAGTCAGTGGAGGAAGCAGATAGAGACATCCACGATACTCAACTCCCAGAAATGGCAATGGGCAAAGCAAGCAAGCAGTGTTTTTTGTTTGTTTGTTTGATTTTTTTTTAATGACTAAGAAACACTGTGTATGACCCTGAGTCTTAATTTTACATATACGTACAGAGGATGTGGGTGGGGATTGGGGGTAGTTGAAAGCAGAATTTTTCTGAGCACTCAAGCCTCAAATGTAGGGCAACACAAGATTACTCAAACATGAGCCCATCAAAATACAACTTTGAGGAAGCTAATGATGAGGGAATACATGGTTAAAAAGCACTAACAGTCGATTTAGCATAATGTCTCCTTTAATCCTTGAAGCATGCAGTTAATATCAATCCCTTCATGAAATATGTAATGCACTTTATTGTGGGTATCATTAGCCAATTTGTGCTCTCAATATTGCAAATTATATTTCTGTAAAGTTAACTGAAATGTTAGCCTAGTTAACACATATATTAAGATTTAGGAGTAGACACAAACTGTCTATTAGACCAAATATCTTGCTCACCATTTAAATGCTTTCTAACGCTGCTATTTTTTTTTATTTATCAAGGCACGTGGAGTTCATCCTTCAAATTAGGCCATCATACCGTCGTCAATACGACAACAGGGTGAAATATAACCTAGCTAGCCTGCTGTTTAGACCGGAGAAATATATTTTCAGTCACCAAGGAGGTGGGCCAAATGAAGCGGTGGCATTTTTATAAGGCGAGGATAATTAAGCGAGGATAACGCTGTTGATGCACTCCCCGCTCTTAATGTAAACAAACATATGACGCAGTAACTTGTTGCACAGCGTTCACACAATGGTTCTTTCTCATAAATACACGAATGCTATGCAATAATCTATTCAAACTGTATTGCAATTTCTCGGGGAGCACTCCCGGGCTCTTGCGCAAGAACCATTTGAGAATTCCTTTGAAAACAGGAAGCTCGCATGCATGGGTCAAAACGGTGGAAACATCAGACCACTCGCACACTCCCTGTGGTCCTAACACTGTCAGAGGAACCAACTGTACAGTTGGTGTGACGAATTAAAACAAGTATATCTTACCTGCTTCCCCCTGTAGAACAGACGCTGTTGATGGGGGGATACATTGAAGATATCTTGAATTTTTAACCGTAACAACTCAATTTTGGTCAATCGAGAAAGATCCTCTACGGTTCGCGTCTCCTTTCCGTCTATTGTACGAACCTGGATCCACATACTTGCGCAAATTCAGCTCAAAAATTAAGATCGGAACAGTTATTGATTGCACACAATTTATGATTTCTAGTGGTGCAGAAATATACACAAATATTCACAGATGCATTTCGCTTTCTCTGCAGAGCTGCTGCTTCACGTCCATGAGGTCGCGGCGCCAAGCAAGTCTCGCGATAATACAGTTAAAGGCAGTTGGCACTGGCCATCATTCTTCTGATGGGCGCATTATTCCCATGATATCCAACATTTTGTGCACCATAATGAAAAATGTACGTATTGGATCAATAAATACGCAATCAAAGAATGAAAATTAAAATAAATAGGCCTAGCTGTGTATCATAAAGGCATAGACCAGGGGTGTCCAAGTTTTGGCCTGGGAGCCAAATGTGGCCCTCAGACCAAATTTATCAGTAGTAATAATGCATAGCATTATATATATCGCCTTTCAAGAAACCCAAAGCGCTTTATAGAGCATTGTTCATACATACAGACATGCATAGTTTGTGATGGTATTGTGGCCACAGCTTCGCTGAGGCAGACTGACGGAAGGAAGGCCAATCACATTAGGCAATATGAGTGATATTTCTTGCCTAAGGACAGAGCAACAGTTACACCTGGTATTTCCAGAGGTTTCTTATTCAAATACTAGCCAGACCGAGCCTTGCTTCTTGCTTAATCTGACGAGATCAGGCTTTGACGACGAGGTCTGGCCTCCAGACTTCCTGCTGAACTGGCCCAAATAATCATAGGCTGTAATTTTAGTTAAATACTACTACAAGCCCATTGACATCACATTGCATTGATAAAGACCTAAAATTCATGTTCCAAGCCTCATTAAATGTATGGTGCAATAGCAGCTCTGTCAAAACTAGGCATAAATGCGCCCATTTGAATGATTCACAGTATTGACCATGGGTCTGTGGTCGACCGCTTTGAATGTGTTACAAGATGTTAGGAGAACCCCAGCATAGACCTCTCAGAATCCCAGTCATCTAGCCTACATATGCATTTTATAGTCTATGCAGTGTTTTCCCGAAGAAAAACAATTAGATTCAAGTAAAACCAAATTAGGCTCTTTATTTTTTTTGTAAGCTGCTATTGGGTGATGTTAAATGTGTTAAGAGGAGGTAACAGGGCCTCAGACAAACATGGTGCACTGATGAGAGTAAAGTAGTTTAAACGAGGCTAACATAGATGCTGGGGTGCCTTTTATAGGCTACATGCAGTGAAGACAATTTGAGGGCTAAAATGAAGCATAGACTACTGCCTGGAGAATGAGGACACTAAAATCATAACTTGCCATGAAAAAACGGCCTGTGTATGTATTACTTCACTTTTACTTACTACTTTATTATGGACAAAATAGAATTCTTGCAATAAATTTACTATAGTAAATTAAGCCTCTTAAAGGTGCACTATAATATTTCTACCACCAACTTACCTGTATGGAGATGTAACGTACTGCTTTGCTTGGAATGTTCCACAGTATGGAATTTAAACTATCTTGCATTTATTCAATATCAGGTGGTTTAGTAAAGACGTGAATTCTTACTTGCCTCTTCACAATTCTAACCTTTAACTTGTAGATAGTGTCACCTGCTTATCCCCATCGCAATAAATAGACAAACGCTGTCATACTGTGGAGCATTGCTGGTAAGCGCCAGAAAAGTTACAACGTGCACTGTTAAACTTAAAGTTTACTCACGGGCAAAACATAGGACACTGTATACAGTGCCATGATGCCACCTTGTGGTCCTTTAACATAAACAATACACTGGTGAGTGGTCAATTTAGACAAAGTGTAGGCCTATCCTAAATGCAATTTATGTGTAGATTGGCTAATTATTTTTAAATGTCAGACTGCTGATTGTTCGAAGGTTCTCAACGTGCATATACAGGAACATTACCATGAATAAAAAGCGAAAAGCAAACGAACCGAGAAGAAAGGAAGAGGGGGAAAAATAAAAGTCACCCATTTCGAGACGTCACAGCGTGTGGAGTGCGCAGGCTTGAAAGCGGTCCTAGTCTGAATAATGGCTGTAGGCTTTTGGGATAACCTCTGTGTTAAGGAAATTAATACTGCTTGACACTGCTGCCACTAAATAAACAGTAAAAGTAAAACTTATCTTGTTTGCGGCAGTTAACGTAGCTGTATTAAAGCTAACTGGTTAGCTGCAAAATGCATCGGACGCTCATTCCCTGTTCTTCTATTTTGCCTTCACTGGTATCCTTGCCGAGATGAGATGTCTGCGTAAGATTTTGTCTGCTGGACTTGAATCTTTTGCTGCCACATTTTACTTGCCATGGCAGTGGTTGGGGCCCCCAGACCAGCACAATAGCAAGCTAACAAGACTAGCTGGCTGTTGTGGATGCTAAGCTCGCTAAAGAGAACTGGTGCCTCTCTAAAAGCCGCATAACAACAAGGTGGGTAGGCTATCGTTTTTAACAACTAAGCTATTCCTCCCTATCAGTGACACTTTTCCTATGTGGGTGATCTTCTAATATTATTTACATTGGCCAAATACAACTTTATTGTATTTTTTTGGCCTACTAAATCAAAGCTAACAGATATTTCATTTAGGGTAAAGCTCTAAGTAAAGTTAAATCTACATATACAATTTTCATTATTGTAGCGTAGGCAATCCAAACTTTCATAATGTGGCATGGGCTCAAGATTTAATATTAATTATATTATTCTTTGACACTGGGTAATAAAAGTGATTGAAACCTGTTTGCTTCTTCAGGTGCCTGTATCATGGATCAATCGCCAGTGACGGATGAAATATCTGTTGACATTACTGACCAAGCTCAAGGGCCAGCTCCGGATATCCCAAATCCCAAATGGATAACAAGTATACTATCTGAAGAACACAGTAATGGGAGTCATGGAACTGAGACTTTACACTGCCATGATGACAGTGGAGGTGTTTTTACTGAGGATGACCACTTTGCACTTAGCAATGATTGCATGTCAGAGTTTTCATATAGTGACATCTCACTGCCAGAAGTCTGTATTTCCTCAAACACAAACTCTGCTAAAGAAGAAATGAACTATGAGGTCCAGCAAGCCTATAGAATATTCAGCGAATTCCTTACAGAGAAACACAAAGGCATAACTAGCTCATTCTTGCATCCAATAGTAAATCAGGACCAGGAAACCCAATATGGCTCAGGAGGGGTACATAACAAGTACCCAGTTAATGTCAGGCAGTCCATGTGCTTACGCAGAATGGAAGAAAAGTTTTTCCAGCAAGAATATGAGACCATAACAGAGTTTGTTGCGGACTTCAGACTAATGTTGGAGAATTGTTATCGCTACCATGGAGTTGACCATTGGCTGTCGAAACAGGCACAGAAATTGGAAATAATGCTAGAGCAGAAGTTAACACTACTTTCCAGGTCAGTGATAATCAGTTGTATTTTAGTGTCTGTTCATTTAAACATGATCTGGTTTACAATACAGTACATTGTTGACGTAAATAAAAACATAATAATAATCAAAATAATGCTATATTTTCTAATAGAAAACAAAAATCTTTATTTTAACGTTTTGATTCATATTGTGGAAATCATACTTTTCTAATGCTCAGGAAATTGCGTGAAAAAACAACTCTTGCTGTGACATCAAAAGGACGGTTTGGTGTTGGAGAGGAACGAGCTTCCTCATCTTCCACCAGGAGGAGACAGACTCGGAGTATAAAAACATTGACAGTTGGTGGGCATGAGTCTGTTATGGTACAAACTTTGAGGGCTGAAGAGCAACAAAGGGCCAGGGAAGAGAAAAGGTGAATAATTATTGCAAGTATATGCAAGTGATTGCAATCTTGTATTACTTGAAAATTAATTTATTTTTCCCTCTTCACAGACAGCGTGAACTTGAGAAGAAAGAGGCAGAAGAAATATCAGCCAAAGAGATGGATGAATGGGAGCAAAAATTGTTATCTCAGGCTTCCCCTCACAATGTGGAGACACTTTGGGAGCTGCCAGCAATAGGACACTTTCTCTGTTTGGCTCAGAGTGCTCTTAACCTCCCGGAGATAGTCTTTTTTGAGCTAGAGCGGTGTCTCCTAATGCCTCGCTGCAGCATTCTCTTGTCCAAAATTATGTCTTCCTTGCTCTGTCCACCACAGAGGAGGTCCACTTTGCACCGTCGTCCACTTCTGCCATACAGACGCTGGGAGTCTGAGCTAAGACAAAGGGTTAAGATTTGGTATCAATCTGTTGGTTCATCCCATGATCAGACAGCTCGAGCTGAGCAGCTTGGTTTGAGCCATCAGTTTTTTTGTGTCCTTGGAAAAAGCAGTCCTTTGGAGGCAAAAGCCTTTCATATGCTGCCCTTTTACCAGCGTGTATGGCTTCTCAAGGGCTTATGTGACCATGTGTATGAAACACAGAGGGATATACAAATAGCAGTTCTGGCTCAGCCCATTCATGAATGTAGGGAGTCAATTTTGGGTTATGACAGCAAAGAGAATGCATATATACACTTTCCACACTTTTGTGGAGCAGATCTGAGGATTTATTGTCAAAGTCCCTGCACACCCCCAAGCTTTCCCTTTCCTTCAGTTTTGGTGGAAAAGGTTGAATTACTGCACAGATTAGAGGAAGAGATGCCTTCTATTACTAAAAACAGCAGTGAAGTTTCATTTTTTCATTTTAATGAAAAAACAGTTAAAGAGGAAATGGACGAAACATGTAAAGTTGAAACTAATGATAAAGATGTAGACAGATGCCATTCTTGGCGACCGAAACCAAGGGAGCACATTCAAAGATCAAACGAAGACACTGGCAATGAATCTAAAGTGGAACCTCATACTAACTCTTCATCAATTAAAGGACTTATCAGGAAACATATTCTAACTGAGGAAAAATCTGAGGTTGATCTTGAAACTAAAAGACTAAAAAGTGAGATGGGCAGTTTGTGTCCATTACAAAAAAAGACGTTACACTGTCCTAGTGATGAGGAACATTGCTATACAGGAAGATCACCAACAAGCTCCGTAACTGGGTCCCCATTACCAAGTTTTGCAACAAATGTTGCCCTAAGAGACCAAAGACAGTCGTGTAAAAGCAAAAACAGTCCTTTTAAGACTGGCCTGTGTCAATGCTGCTGTGAATCTTCAGAGCTTCTCAAAACACAGATATCCACAGAACACACTCAAACTTTTTGTGAGAAGAAAGTGAATGACAAAATCCCGACTAAGAAGAAAAAGTGGAGAAAAAAGAAAGGAAGAGAACTGCCTTCGCACATCAAACCTGAGCAGAAGCAGCCACAGCATGTAGACAGGACACTGTCTTGTGCTAAACCTCCCATGCCTTTGGAGTCAATCACTGGTATCAAGAGGAAAGACAAGAAGAGAAAACACATAGAAGGTGGGTGAAGCATGTAAAAATGTTGTTATTATAATATGATTATTTCATTTTGTAACATTATCTGGCAGGTAACTCTCCTCTCTCTAAGAAAATGAATGAGCCACATGCTGGACCATCTTTTAAGGTAAACAATTATTAAAAAGTTATACAAACATACATGTTTACCTAACTATATTTTATTTGTTTATTTGTAGTTGATATGCACCAATCTTGATGATTTGCGAGACTTAATTAATAAGACCGAGGATGAGCTTGATGATCTAGAGAGCACAAAAAGGAAAATGGTATTAATTTCTTTCCACTCATGTAACTGTTGTGTAGTGTGTAAAATTACAGATGTTTTTCATGTCATACGTAGAATCGGTGGTATTGTAGAAGAGAAGCAGTCAAAGATCTTCACAGCACATTGATCAGATTATTGAATGAGCTTACTCCCTGGGAACCTAAACTAATCAAAGCATATCAACGAAATAGGTATAAAATAATGTAATTTATATACACTTTTTAAAAGGCTATTTAATATCCAGTGGCTGTTAAGAGTTGTTATTTAATTTAGGCTACGTTTAAAGAAGGAATTTGAGATCTTCAGAAGTCATCCAGAATATAACAACTTTGTGCGTGAGGAGTCCATTTCATCATCATCATCATCCTCATCCTCATCATCATCATCAGATTATGATGAAGGAGAACCGGATTTGCTGTTTGAACAATGCCATCAATCAGGACATGTAGATCCAGAGCACATACTTCCCCGAGGACTTGGAGGTAATGCACTAAGCTGATACTGTTGCAGCCAGTGGTTTGGGACAAATGTTATATTCATATATATTGAATGTTTTTTTTAAGTATTATTTAATTTAGATAAATACTTTATTGATCCTGAAGGAAATTCAACAGCAATGAAACAAACATAATAATATAGTGGTGTATCCTCTTGCATTCATCATTTATAGCAATGCACTGTTCAGACTTATGGTGAGTGGGACAAATGACTTCCAGAGAAAGATATGACCAGTTTATCCAGCAACACAGCATTTATTTATTCACATCCCTTTATGGAGTCATGCTTCCTTTATGGAGGACCAAATGTCTAGTCCTCATGAGATAAATCCTTTAATATCAGACTGATTTGGGAATGTGGATCACATATTTGGGGATACAAAGGGACAATTGTAATGTTTTTTTAATTATACATAATTTGTTACACATATTTCCTTTTTAAAATATCCCTTTTGATTCTCCTGAGCAAACATGAAATATGGATTTTTGGGAATTGGTAAGTTATCAAGTCTTTTCACTCTTTTTCAGGAACTGTAAAGGACTTGTCCACTGAGTTTTCTGTAGATATTCCAGTGACTCACAAAAGTCATAATTGTCAAAAGCCACCCGTGTCTGCTATAAGTGTCAACTTGGATCCCTCCCTTAAAAATATATGTAAATCTGAGCTAAATCATCAATCAGAGAAATCCAGCGATTCATACTCTTCTGAGAAACCATCTGCTCCATTGTTAAAACAGAACTTTCTCTTTACTGCAAGTGGACAATCCAAAAGCTACACGCCTATCCCAACCCTTCTGGCCAAAAGTGTTGGTAACAAAGTGACTTTAATGAAACAGCCAGCTGATCATCTAGAAATCGACAGTAAAGGAAGTGTGGTCTCCACTGGGGACACCAATCTGTGCAAGTTGAACAACTGTTTATCTGGTCCTCCACAGAATTCTTCACAAAAACATCTCTTTTATGCTGTTCATAAAGAACAGAATCCTCTTGTTTTTGGCTCTAATTCAAATCTGAAATGTAAGAAAATGGAACCCCAGCAAGCTGTATTTCTGCATTCGAATATTCTCAACGATACAGATAAAGAAATGACTTTATCACAACAGCAGTCTAAAGATATACTTTCAAGTGAAATGGATGCCACTTTATGCACATCCACCAATGTGGCTGGTTTTACTATTCCTGAAAATGGAACCCTTGTTCAGCAAGTGCCTCCCTTAAAAAATACTGGACTAACAGAGACCAATGTTTGTTCCAGTAATATTCCCAGTTTCCTCAGGTCACAGCCGAGTGCAATTAGTAATGCAAGGTCCAAAGGGACACAACAATGTGATGTTCAGACTAGCACACCTCATTGTTCACTTCACAATATTACTTCTGTTCCTTTGAGTCTTTCAAGGTCTACAGATTCTAAACAAGAACTGAAAACTGTGTGCATCAGAGATTCACAGTCAATTCTTGTTACAACTAGAGGAGGCAATACAGGGATTGTCAAAGTACAAAAATCTACAGATCACCCTGGTGGTTTTTCCAAAAGTCCAATCATAACAATTTCACCTCAGTTCCAAGCCTTACTTGTTTCCAAAACTTCCTCTGTTTTTTCTCCTAATACTGGTCAGTCTGGCACAATATCAGCAGCAACTACTGGCTCAAAAGTCCAAACAGTTGCTGAAACATCCAGCATCTCCCTCAATCAAGAAGTGAGCAAGTATTCAAATACTACGAAACGTCAAGGACTCACTGGTTCAAGTGGCTACACATCAACATCAAATCGTGGCATACCTGCAGTGTCATGTCCTCTGACTATGGTGAAAAATGTCAAGCCACCACTCAGTAACTTTATTACTCCCCCAAGTGTGACAGCAGCAGACTGTATCAGTCAGCCTCATCTCAATCAGGCTAATGCAGATAATGGATCACATATCGCCAAATTCATTTTAATCAATCCCCCTTCTTCCCATGATAACGTTTCTTACGCCAAAACACTTCCTATTTCGTCCACGCTTATAAACCAGCAAAACACTATAGCAAAATCACCTTTGATTCCTATACAATGTGCCAATAAGGTCCTGAAGCAGACTGCCACAGGAGCTATACAAGTGGTGGCAACTTCATCCACTCCATCCAAAATGGGTATCTACATGAATTCTGTCAACTCTGTCTCTGTTCCCAAAAACAAGGATGTTTCTGTATCTTCAGGTTTGTATTTTTATTTTATTTCCTATTGTATATTTTAATAGTAGTTATAAAAACTTCACATTTATGGCATTAAAAAGGCACGTAACATTTTTTATATTTAATTCTGCAGGAAGATCTACAGAGCCTATCAAGTTCCCATGCATGACTGCCACCACCATCTCACAGAACACACAATCATCTACCAAATGCCGTGATACAGAAGAAATGGTAACCACTACAACACAAACGGTCTTCATAAATCCCAATGTAATTTCAACTGTTCCTGCTCCTGCCACATCACTTTCTAGTTTAAAGCACCTTGGCATTTCTTCCATAACTATGAATTCTCAGTCAGAAAATCTAACTTGTCCTAGCACTAACTCTTTGTCAGTAGATATTCCTCAAAACATCATGTGGTCCAGCAACTCAAAAGTTCAGCTAGCAACATCGCAAAGCCCTCCAAATCCAATATCAGCTCTGAGCCTAAAACACAAGTCTCTAAATAACCAATTTGTGTCAAATAAAAGTGGGCATTTTGACAAAACGTCATTATCGCCACCACTTTCTTTCACTAAACCTCAAGATTGTACTACTACTACTACTTCTACTACTACTACTTCTACTACTACTACTACTATAACTATTACTACTACTACGTCATCAACAACATCTCTCACAAGCTCAGTCCAAAAGCAAATGGTTATCAACACTTCAACACGTCTTGCAGGTGGTACACGTATTGTTCTAAATAATGCTCACTTTGTGGTCCCACCCCAAGGTTTAGGGCCAGGCAGCCATGTTCTTGTCATTTCAGGTCATGCACCACAAGTGCCTAGTCCAAGTGTTGTAACAGAAGACACTGTACCACATCAAGGGGTGAACAAAGGCCAGGTGCTTCTACAGCCCTCAGCTACGCTGCCTGGTGTACCAGCTATTAGATCTCCTTTTGTAGCATGCACATCAACTGTTGCTTGTGCAGTACAAGCTACTAGTCCCATAATCTCAGTACCCAGAATCAATAGCCCACACAACACAGTAGTAGTTAATCAACTTGACTCAGTAGCAAAGTCTCAGTTTTTGCAGACTGGTAACATTGGAAAACATACAGAAGGAGCCTCCATAGTCTCCACTTATCCAAGTATATTGCCTCTGGTTTCCACTGCCTTGACCAATGCATCTACCATTGGCTCATCCTTCAGATCTGAATGCTTGACTACTACTGTAGCTTCAGTAGGTCTCTCATTGCCTAATGTTTCACCACCCATATTATCGTCTGCTGTCTTTATCCAACCTATTAAAACAGATCTTGCACATCTGCTAAAAGTTGAATCTACTCCATACTCACAGGGTTTGCTGTCTCCTACTCAGATGACTAAAGGTTTTTCAGAGAAGTCCCTAGCTTTACAAGTACCATCCCAGCATCAAACCATAAAAGTAGCATCCATTTCCAGTTCTACATCAACTGCATTAATGCACATGGGACTTGGCAGCTTATCGTTTAAAAAACAAGGACATACAGTGGTAAATCCAGTCTCGACGATTGCACAGGCTAACACTGCTTTAGCAACTCAAATTGTGCCGCCAGCTGTGAGTCCGGGAATGTGGACACTGCCGTGTTCTGGGGGGATTGTGAAAGCTGGTGAATCAAACAGCCGCACATGTGACACTGCAGCTCGCTCACTCCCTGACAAAAAAAGTCCCACCCATTGTCCTGTCATTGTGACCAATCCAGCAATGGAAAAGCACTTACAGCAGGCTTCATTCTTAGAGATGCATAGTCCTGTAACGTCAAAGCTACTTATTAGCCCTGATGGGGCTGTTTTGAGTACAGTTCAGTGCAAAGCCAAGTCCACTTTGCCAGAAACGCCATCTGGACTCTTGATTTCAACTGCTGCACTTCAGACAGAGAATTTGCTATCACAACCTTCACAGATGGACTCTAAATTTGACAAGTGAATTAACTGTGCCGATGCACCTTCTGCTTACCAGGAGTGCCATGTTATGCTTGGTCTGCCTTTGTTTAAAACTTCTGCTTTCAATTTTTATAGAGCAACAAAGTCCAAACATCAATGGGTTGATGTGAACAGTAGCAGACTGGAAACGTACTGTGTTTTATACTGTATTTGATGTAGCTTTTGGGATTGAATGTTAAGACTTTTTTGAGTTTTTTTAAGGCCACAATTCCTGTACCTTCTAATCATTATCAACCATACACTGTCCATTGTGGTCCTTAATAGTAGATAATACACGCTGCTTCAGATTTCTAGATCATTTAATGAACAATCTCTATCTACTGTGAGACATTTAATTGATTGAAACAGTCAGGTCAGTTTGTACTACATTGAAATGATATTGTTTCATTTATTTATTTTATTACTTTATTATATGTATTTTAGGAATATTTGGTACATTTTCATTGGATAAATGTGAAATGGAAATGTGCATCGAAATAAAACACTGCAACTGTCTCCAAAGGTAGAACCGTTTTTTCCCAAGTGGAAATGAATATTTCATGTGAAATAATTTATAGAATAACATAAAAATAAACACGTTTATGGACTTCTTGGCATGTTGGCTTCATTTTTTCAACTTGTAATTGTATTGACAACTAATTGATGTAGTCTTTTCAAAATGTCCTTAAGAAAGAAGTCATTTAAGGGGAATATGGAGGAGGCAGTGGTCCAGAGGAGATCTTTTCATATGCAGGAGGAGCATTTGGAACCTGGATAAAGAAAGTGAGAAACATGTTTGAGTTAATAGAGCTCTTTAAGATGAATTGATGTAAATTATAGTTCTATTCAGGAAAGATAGGCTACTTTTTCAAATACCTAGTTTTTCAAGTACCTAGTTTCGATACTAGTTTTAGTATCAATTAGTATTGGATCTTTGATAGTTTTGACAACTTGAGGTGACTTAAACCCATATTATTCTATAATTTCTGTCATTTTATTGAAAGAAAGTAAGGGACTGTAGTCCAATGCCTTATAAAGGGCTAATCCTGTTTTAAACCTGCCTTGACTGCTGACAATAAGCTCTTTTATTACATCACACTCACATGCCGGACAGTGTTGGAAAGCCTTAGGCCTGTACTGAAAAGTGCCTACGGTAGTGCATAGTTGGACAACATTTATAAAATTAAAAACAATTTTAAAAATTGAATTTAATTCAAGATATGTGACCAGATCTCACCACATTTCTGAAGCTACCAAAGTCAGTGAGGGCCATCTTGTTTTCCCCTGATGTTCCTGGTTCTGAGTATGCTCTTGTAAAACCTGGTGATCCTGATCTTGTGCTCTGTTGTTAGAAGATGTTTATTGATAATCACATACAGTAAAGCATAAAGTAGATATTTTAAGTAAGAAATGCAATTTTACTCCAATTATTTTGTAGCCACTCCTCTTTTTAAGGTACCAGCATCCCAGAATAAGAAGAGCAGCCAAGATGATCACCAGCAGAGCAATGCCTATAGCCCTGATGAAGACAATGCAGTAACGCAAAAAGGAAAATAATGACATCACAGATATGCCTACATCAGTTCAGGAGATTTAAAAGTACATACTCCTCAGCTCTGACATATCCTCCCCTGCCACTGGCAAAATAGATGTTGAAGTCTCCACGAGGCATCCCGTTGGTACGGTTGCACCTCATCAAGTCTGAAAAATTGATTTAGAAAATTATTGTACCTTTCAAAATATTTACAGTTCTCATTGCTGTTGATGTCCATAGAATTAACTGAAATTGGGGGACTAATAATTTAATATTACAGTAGCACAGGCTCTCAAAGCCTACCTTTTATTAGAAATTGATTAGAAATTGTTTCTTAACCATGGAACCATATATATATATATATATATATATATATATATATATATATATAAACACACCATAGTCAAGACAAAAACTGCAGTAGGCATAGATAAGATGGTAGCTTGGTTATAGTTACTTAGCATATCAATTGTTTTGATCATTTGCTGGGACTTGCAGCTAAGTTATTATTATTATTATTAATAATAACAATAATAATAATAATAAATCATCATCATCATTATTATTATTATTATTATTATTATTATTATTACTACATCTCTGCACGTTTACAAATCGAATTATATAATGTTTTGTAGCTTAGAAAACATTTTTATACAGTAACAGTACAGTAGTAGTATAAGAGGGCTTTACAACAAAACTGAAGGACTACTTACCAAGCAGAATAAGAATTCAGTCGCAGAGATCGTGCTTTGATAGTTAATGTAGAAAAGACAGGTCCAGGGAGCACTGTGCGGGTTCACTGTTCAAATATCCTGCCCGAGTGTCTGTGAAGAATGGGCAAAAACTCCTCATGACCGTCACGGGTTAGGGGCTCATGGTTAAACCCATTGAAGCAACGTAATTAGCGTGAAACCCCGGGGCCCTGGACACAACACCGCAGTCCACACGTGGGTCTACGTGAGTCAGCTGCTTCTATTTTCACATGAACGTGGACTGTCCTTTACAACAACTGTGCAATGATCTTTATTTAAATACATCAATAATCTTATCAAGTAGGCAAAATATGATAAATATAGGGGGCGCAGATACTCACTCACCCAATCAGTTGATCTCAGGCACTTGCCAACTGCGGGTTCTTCAGAGGGCCACTCACAATTGTGTTAACTAGTCACCTATTAGGGGAGACTGCAGTAAGTTGAGTCACTTTTTGTTTTAATGTTTGTTTTTTTACACACAAAAATAATCCGAATAAATGGAGATTTTATAGGCCCCATGGAATCATTATTCATGTATATAAATCCATATCTATTTCCTTGTAGGTCAAGGCCATTCAATAGGACATGGAGAACATTTTAGCTGAAAATACTGTATATTAGGACAGTTAGGCCTATTTTTACATTTCTATCATGGTTGCTGGGATATGCTTATACCATCATTAGAACTTGGTGGGAAATAAATCTAATAAATTTCAAATGTGGCATGACAAAAGCAAACACAAAGCTACATAAGAAATAATGAATAAATAATAATGCTATCATGCACATAATCACATTTTGCATAAAAATTGTGAAGGAAAAATAGAATATAATAAATTTTACTTTTGAAACTACTATTTATGTCAATCTATTAAAACATTGGAATTGTACATATATAGTTAATGTTTCTATTGCTTTGTGAAGGGAATGAGGAATCTGTGGAATTTAGGGAAGGGAATGAGTATTTTGCTCCATGTGCTACATAAAAGGGTTGCAAATCAACACATGGAATTTTTTCTCAGAAATAAAAAGTTTTTATTATATATACATTTACAGTGATAGACTGTTACATTTTTGAGAATTCTCAAGTTTTGGTGTTTTTGTTCTAAAAGCCTGTCATTAAAGCTATATAAATCTGAAAAATAAAATGTCTCGCTATAGATCAGCTAAATTCAATCATCCTTCAGCTTGCAGGCTCAACCCATCTTCTTCAAACCATTGTGTGTTCAGTTGAGGATGGTTGTCTCCTTGAGTCAGTGGTGGATGTCACAACCATGTTGATACAGGCAAATGTGTGAATTTTACAGCTTATCACAAAATACAAAACCAAACAATTACTTGCGCAAACACATATAGCCTATTGCATGCATTTATCACAATAAGATAAGAAAGCAGTGTCTTATTCAAGTATGATGTCTACAGGTGACAACCAGCTCAGTCTCCTACAGCTGTAAAAGAGGCAAAATAAAATTATACAATCAATAAATAGGCATATCTGAGGCCTGAAATGTTGTTTTCCAGGAAGTCCACTAGAGGGAAACCTAATGGTCTATGTAGTCTGTGGTACCACAGCTCATGGCTTTTTAAGACAGCAAAAAAGTGTGTGAAAGTACAGCACAGAAAATATGCATTTATTTGGTCTTGATAAAGTTCTCATGCACAAAGTGTGTGGGACTAAGTTAATTGATCCAGGTTGTAACCATAAAAGAACTTCTTATCTTTTTATATTTCCATGGTTGTGACTCATGTGTTATAATTGCACTGATATTAGGCGTGCAATACCACAATAGTGTCACCAGTAGTGTCAATGAATTCAGAATTATTTTGATTTGATTTAAAGAAAGATGTGGGTCTAGTTTTCGCCTATCAGATGATCAAAACACAACACTAATGTGTCTGTCAATCATAAGCTTAAAATGAAGTTAGCAACGCCTAAATGTAGGCCACTACTGTGCAACTCCAACTCCCATTCAGACGGTAGCTTTAAATGCTTTGACAACAAAAGAGGATCGTATAATTTTTTTTTTTAAATTTAGTTTAGTTTAGGTAGGCCTATACTTGGGCCTACATTGCAGAAGACAAATATAGCCTAGGCCTTAGTTGCATTGCAGTAGGCCTACAATTATTTCTAATAAGGCTATTTAATGGACCCTCAATCAGACAACCGCTGTAAGTAGTTACAGGCCTATGCAAAGACGTCTGTCATACAACGTAACTTTCCCTGTTTTTTCTGTATTCTGTAGTTGTTTTTTTTAGATAGGCTGCAAGATCTTGGAACCTTTTTGACTATGCATCAATTTACTCTGAGGGTGGAGTAGTAGTAAGCCATGAAAAAATTATGTGTTTGTAATATTCACTCATTTAGTGTATAAAACCGCACAACCCACCAAGTGGTTAATTTAGTCTATTTATCTTATTGGTTTTGCTTAACTTTAATGTTAAATTAAATGATACCTGAAAATAGCTGCTATGTCCCCTAATGAGTGCCCTGTTTCAGTTAAGGGGCCAGTCCCAGTAAAAACAGTGCAGATCCTCGTAGCGCAGTAGCATTAGCCTGGATCCTCTCCGGGTGGACTGGGGGACGAAGAGGGAGCTCTTCTTCTCCAGCTGCCATCCTACTCCTGCTCCTCCCCCTCTCCTCCTCCAGAGCCACTTCTCTTTCTCATCACATCCCGAGGTAAATAAGACACATTCAACAATAACAATCGCTTTTTGTTTGTATCGTTTTTACCAAGACCTTTGCCGTTTTGTGCTGGACATTACCTTGCACTTGGAGAGCATTCAGGGGTTAGCCAGAGCGATAGTAATCATTTGTGATGGGGTCTTTGCTTTGTACCCCTGCTTTCCTGGCGTCGGGTCGGGGTTACGCTTCCTTAGGCAAGTCCGAGGTCTACTTTGTCAGATAAAGATAAGGTTAATAGTACCGTAGTAGATGTAAACTTATAATAGAAAAACAGTATTTTACATGTGCGTTTAGGAGAAGCGGTTCAATATAAACGATTGGGTTTGATACAGTTGCAATGATGCTAGCTAGGGCAACTTAAACAGATACCTAGCCAGTTAGCATAGCTTTATCTCCAGTTGTTGCTAGCCGGCTAACAACGAACTGATTGTGGTTACCTTCAGAAAACATATTTTGCGTCCTGATCGTATCTTCAGTGTTGGCAAACTAGTAATACCTTAGTAATAATGTGCTATAATTGGTGCTATGGCGGGGAAATGTATTCATAAACTACCGAAACAGTAATTACAGTTAGTAATAGCAAATACATTGACTGGGATGTTTTTGTCCTTTATATGGGCTTGTTAGGACTGGTTTCATTTGTTCATCCATACCATTTTGATAACAAATCAGTTGTGACCGTGAGAGTTTGTCGTGAAAAGGCGACCACTTTCTCAAATATGGGAAACTGTGATTTAGCCAAGTTTTCACGATTCCACGGTAATGTTGTTGTTACAAAACAGAAAAAGCAGCGTTAGCTTCTTATAACGAAATAATACATCTGTTAAGAAGAACAACATTTTGCCCGAACAAAATATTATAGAAACCATTGCATTTCATAGACAAGAAACATTCATGTGTCACTTAATTCTATAATTTTTTTGGAATTTTAAATTACTTTGACCCCCAACTATTTTCCAGGTCATTTCTTGATGGCTTCTAATACAAGTAGACAACCTTATTTTATTTTAAATGTGGCTTATAAATGTGGCTTATGTAAATCCTTTGTTTGTTTCAAGGATTTCGGAGATGTGAGGAATAGGAAGAGTGTTATTGAACAGCTTAGCTTCTGACACTGTCTCTTGACCTCATCTTCAGCATGAATGGTGATATGCCTCATGTTCCCATCACTACTCTTGCTGGAATTGCTAGCTTGACAGACTGTAAGTCACTTTAAGTGCATTTGGTATTATCCATATATTCAAAAATCCTTAAAAAATAAAAATGCTGATTATCACTTCAACGTTTTTTTCTCCATGTAGTGTTGAACCAGCTACCGTTGCCTTCTCCACTGCCTGCTACAACTGCTAAAGGTCTACTGTACAGCAGTAGAATCTCTGAAGAGGTAAACAATTTACTGGTGTGTCGGGATGAAAATTTGGTGACTCAGCTCGTCCACAGTCTTAACCAAGTCTCTACTGAACATATGTAAGTAAAATTATTTATTTATGGAGCCATGTGTGTTGCTCAAGAATCTTATAATGAAAGGCATTTTTCTTTTAGTGAATTGAAGGACAATCTGGGCAATGATGAACCAGAAGGGGAAATGCCTTTGCTGTTGCAAACCTTGTTGTCAAGGAACCCCAAAATCTTCAGGGATAAAAGTATGCCTTCCCAGAACGAGGTTTGGGGTGGTAAGGAGGAGAACTCAAGTTGTTGCCCTGCTACTGAGCATGTTCAGTTGTCTATTACTGACATGGGCTTTGGGATGGTTTAAAATTAATACTGATTAAATGTTTTATTTGTACAAGTTTATATAAGTTCATTCTATCTGCCATAATGTAATGTATTATTCATCAGTTATTAGAAGCACCATTGAAGCACTTTTGAGCAATAATAGAATTAACTGTACTAAATGTACTTACATACTTGCTCTTTAGTTTATTTTCTGCTTAGTAATGATTGCATGAATGTGACAAATATACTTTGTTACTACATAAAAAGAGTAGCAGTTTGACTTGTTCAGGATGTGTCAGATTTATCCAGGTAACCTGTTTTATTTTTCTCTGTCGATTAAGGTGTTAGGCAGCCATCTTTGATTCAGCAGTACAAAGTGACTCAGAATCAAGTTCACGGCAGTCCGGCATCTAACTATCAGCAAACCTCTGTTCCCCCAAGTCCTTCTGGGTAAGCACCCTACATCATCATAGTTAATTTAGATTAGAAATAAGATGCATAGTTCCATCTGTTTATGAAGAATCATTTATCTTTTTCAGATGTTTTACTCCTCAGCAGTCTGGGTCTGGTGCAAGATTTATAACCAAACAGAACAGTCCCATATCCAGTCCCTACACCCCACAGAGTCCCGACGACTACTTGCAATACAATCCACCCAGTTATTCTCAACACCAACAAGCTCAACAAGGTGAGTTACAACTTTTCTTTAGCACACATCATAACTGGGGTAGTTATGGTAATATTACACAGGTCATGACTAGCTGTAAGTACTTGTAAGTTGATTTTTATCTAATCAATTTAATGTTTTATACTATTTGTTTTCATAGCTGCCGGGATGAGAAATATCCATGACAACAAGGTCTCTGGACAGCTCTCAAATAACTCCAATCACAATGTACGAGTTGGTTCCAATGATACCTACATGAACATGACACGATTAGGAAATGAGGTAATTTATAAAACGTTAAACCTTATTCAAACCTCAGTTCACAAAAACACTTGAAACATGTCTTGTAATTGTCAGGCAAATGGCTCCTCCACAAAAGGTGCTGCATTTTCTGTGGGATCTCCAAATTCTACATGTTCTCCTGCTGCACATGAAGAGACCACAAAACGTACATTTGCAATTGATACAATATTGTAATGATACTTTTAATGACAATGCTCTCAAATTATACATTTTATCCAATTTGTATTTCTATAGGTTCAAGGGTCATCATACAGTCACCCAATGATCTACCCGACAAACGCGTAACTTCAGTGGAGTACAAAAAGAAACATAAAGAAAGGAACAAGGAGGAATATGAACAAATTGATAAAAATGCTTTGTATGACATAGTAAGCTCACCAGTGAAGGACTCTTCAAGGCTAACTTTAAAACTGACTAGAGTACGATCTTCTGACACGGATCACTCTGGAGACATGCCTGCTGTAGAAAATGCCAATCACGTAGATACTAGTGTAATGAAGGATACTCCGTTGTCAAGGACTACCCAAGAGTCTTTACAGAAGTCAGAAGCTGAGGAGCAGGCAAACTGTCATCTGCCTGTTGTCCAACACAATACAAAAGACACTGGTGCTGTTAATTCATCTGCCTGTGATGAAGCTGAGACAGATGCACTTTCAGAGTCTGAGAGAGTAGAACATGAGTCATCATTTGAGAAAGAACGCTGGAATAAGGATGTTCAGGATAAAGGTGAAGATATGCATTTTCTCTGCTTTTTATATTGATGTGTTAATATTGCTAACTAAGTGTACTTATTTCCTTGTAGACAAACCACTGAAGAAACGAAAACAGGACTCATATCCCCAGAAACCTGGAGTTGGAGGATTTTCTGAAGTGGGAGATGGCCAAAAGGGTAACCGCAGCAGCAAGATGACACCCAGAAAGACTGTTGCTACAAATAATGGTACAGGTCGGCCTGCTTTGATGGTCAGTATTGATCTAGAGCAAGCTGGTCTAGGAAAAGCACATCCTGTGGTGGTCTTGGAACCTCGAGAGATTTGTGAAGATCACCTAAAACGCCTAAAATTGAAGACAGATGATAAGGGAAACAAAGTTGTTGAAAATCAAGGCTTCATTAAACAACATACAGATAACTCTAGAAAGTTTGATACTCATAAAAACCACCAGGAAAGCCAGAAGGAACCTAAACTACAAAATGTCGCACAGAATAGCAGTACAGAACACAATGAAATGGACACATTACGTCAGAAACACAAACCCAATTTAGAAACTACTTTCAAAGAGGAAAGAAACAACAGCAGTCATCATTGCAATGCCAGGATCCCTGATAGTCAAAAAAACAGTGATAGCACAAAAATGAATACCTCCACTGAAACAGATAAGGAAAAGAACAGACACAAGGAAAAAGACCGGAGCAAAAGTGTGGAAAAAAATAGAGACAGTAATAAGGACAAACACAAAAACAGGGAACCCAGCAAGGATGGAAGAGACCAGAATAAAAATGATGAACGGAGTAAAGCTAGAGAAGACAAGGAAAAGAGTCTTAACAAGGACCGAGGTAGGGGTCAACCTCAAGAAAAAGACCAAGATGTCATTAAAGAACGAAATCGAAATAGGTCTAAAGAGGTGGACACTGATAAAATGCAGAAAAAAGATCAGGACCTGGATAAAGAACCAAAACAGAAAAGGGTAAAAGAAACTGAGCGGGACAAAAGGCAAGAGAAGCACCAAGAACTGGAAAAAAATAGAAATCGAAACAAGGACCAAGAACGAGAAAAGGCCAAAATCCAAGAAAAAATCCAGGAGCCAGTCAAAGATGTGCAGCAAAGTAAGGATAAGGAGAGGACCAAGGACAAAACCCAAGCAAAGGACCAAGATCAAGAAAAAGATTTGAAGTACAATAAGGGTAAAGAGCGGACAAAAGACAAAACCCAAGAAAAGGAGCCAGATCACAAAAAAGACCGACATCGCAACAAGGAAAAAGATCGAGACACCGAAAAGATTCAAGAAAGAAATAAAGAGCCTGACAAAGACCGCAGGCGCAGTAAGGATAAAGAGAGGAATCAAGATCAAGACAAAACTCGTGAAAAAGATAAAGAGCGCTGCAAAGGCCGAGGAGATGAACGAGATGCGGAAAAGAAGCACAGACTGGCACAATCTGAGGAAAACTATAATAAACAATGTGGTGACCAGCCCACTAAAGCAGATTGCCCTAAAACGAAGCATGATGGGAGTAAAAGATCCACAGACCTCAATAGACGACCAAAGACAGAAAGTACCTCTTCTGCTAACAAGGAAGACCGAAAGAGTAGTTGTCAGATTTCAGATAAACAGACTGTGGAAACCAAGGCCAGTGAGTTTCCCTCATACCTGTTGGGTGGCACGGGAACAAATTTGAAAAACTTTGTCATTCCTAAACTGAAGCGGGATTCGAGTACTAAATGTGTTGATGGGCTGGTTGAACCTAGAGTTGTGCTGGATAGAGTGTCACTGGTTAAGAATCTAGCTAAAGCAGCCAAGCCTGTAATTGTGCTTAAGAGACTCAGTATTGATGAAATAAAACAAATAATTAGGGAGAGCAGGAATGCTCGTTCATCCAGAGACTGGTCTTCCAGATCAGGTAAAGTATGTTGCATATAAGCACCACATTTTTATTAAAATATTCTTGCTCAACTTTTTTTTGTCTTTCCAGAAATGTCATCAAACAAGCGTAGACACAGTGCGGTCAGTAAGAAACCCAAGTATGTTGTGTCCGACTCTGAAGAAGAAAGTGAAGACTCAGATAATGAGGGTAAGAAGTGTATTATGAAAGGAAATATGCTGCTCAAAAAAATTTAAAGAACACTTTGTAAACACATCAGATCTCAATGTGGAAGAAAATTTGTTGGATATCTATACAAATATGTACAGGGCAATGTCTTAGGTACAAAAGAATGGCACCTCTTTTAACGGAAATGAACAACAGGTGCACTAGAGTGGCAACAACGAGACATCGCCTAAAACAAGACTGGTTTTCCATGTGGAGATCATTCCCAGTTTCTCCCTAGAGGGATTATTCCCACTGGGAGTATGAGGCTGTTCCTTAACCCTACAGAAGCTGCAGAAATTGTCCAACTTCTCCAAAATGGCACATTCAGTTGCAAGGAGATTTAATGTGTCCCAGCACAATCTCCAAAACATGGAGGAGATTACAGGAGACAGGCAGCTACACTAGGAGAGGTGAACAGGGCCGTAGAAGGTCCTCAACCCATCAGCAGGACCCATATCTGCTTCTTTGTGCAAGAAGGAACAGGTTGAGCAATGCCCATTCCCTACAGAATGATCTCCAGCAGGCCACTGGTGTCAATGTCTCTGCCCAAACAATCAGAAACAGACTTCATTTGCTAGACAACACCAGAATTGGCAAGTCTGCCACTGGTGCCATGTTATTTTCCACAGATGAGAGCAGGTTCACCCTGAGCACCTGTGATAGACGTGAAAGAGTCTGGAGAAGACAAGGAGAACGCTTTGCTGCCTGGAACATGGTTCAGTATGAGCAAGATGGTGGTGGGTCTGTGATGGTCTGGGAAGGCATATCCGTGGAGGGATGCACAGACCTAGGTATCAGGATGAAATCCTTGAACCCACTGTCAGACTCTAAGCTGGTGCAGAAGGTCCTGGGTTCCTCTTAATGCACACCAATGCCCGGCCTCATGTGGCAAGAGTACACAGGCAGTACCTGGAGGATAAAGGGATTGATACAGTTGAATGGCCCTCACGATCACCTGATTTAAACCCAATAGAACACCTCTGGGACATTATGTTTGGCGTCTGTCAGACGCCGCCAGGTTGCTCCTCAGACTCTACAGGAGCTCAGTGATGCTCTTATACAGATCTGGGAGAACATCCCACAAGACACCATCCGTCGTTTCATTAGGGGCATGCCACGACATTATTAAACGTGTGGGGGCCAAGTATGATATTGAGAAGCATTTTGAGTTGCAGAAATTAAATTGTGGCAAAATGGACCAGCTAGTCCATATCATTATTTCACTTTGATTTTCAGGGTGTCTATAAAATGAAGCCCTCTGTAGGCTGAAAATTGTATTTCCATTAAAAAGGTGGCATCATTTTGTTCTGAAGACACAAGTCTGTCCATATTTGTATAGATATAAAGAAAATGTCCACATTGAGATTTGATGTGTTTTCAAAGTGTTTTGAGCAGTGTGCAATGCCTCTCTAAATGTAACCAATAAACTACAGGTTTTAATATAGCTTTTTTCACAGTTGTGAGAAAAAAATCCAAGAGAGACAATGACAAGACCTGGAAATGTGAGGAGAAAAGAGGTCGGTCTTCAAGTGGCCGCCATCGTGATAGAAGTTCAGCGGATTCAGATGAAAGTTCTCCACCACCAAGCCTGACTGCTGGTAAACGTCACTGTTGGTCATACATTTATTTGGTTCCTAGATTGAATGACTGTGTTATTCACAAAATCAATGTTTGTTCTTAATAAGTTGCAAGAAAACTAAGCAAAAAGGAGAAGCAGAAAAGTAAAAAGTCACATGAACCCAAGCAGACAGTTGAAGGTAACAAGCATTCTTTTTTTAAAGATATTTTTAAAAATATACTCTCTTTTTGTTTAAATCAATAAAGCACCCATTTTGTATTTAACAGAAATGATGGATTCATCCACATTCAAGAGATTTACAGCCACCCTGGACAGCATACTAGAGAACCTTGAAGATGCAGATTTTACTGCCACAGGTAAAGCAGACATTATTTATTTATTTGTTATGTTTTGCTAAAACTTTACAAGAAACCTTTTAACACTTTTTTTTATGCAGATGATGACGAAATACCTCAGGAACTCTTGCTTGGACAGCATCAGTTGAGTGAGCTTAGCAGTGACTCTGCTAAGATTAAAGCTATGGGTATTTTCAACAAGGTAAGAAAATGAAAGAGCTATTAAGTTTTCTAAAGTTTCATCAATAGGAGATAAAGAGAACTTTACTTCATTTGACAGATTCCCTCTGAAAGACTGGTAAAAGTTTTGAATATTCTAGAGAAGAATATTCAGGACAGTGTCAAACTTTCCACATTAATGCATTATGTAAGTATAAATGATACATTCTTCTTCTTTGTAATAGAGTTGTTAGAAACCGTTTGTCAGGAGTGTAATGTTATAATGTGCTTTAGGATAATGATTCAATGGACGAAGAGAAGCTGTGGCGTGACCTCATCATGGAACGAGTGACCAGATCTGCAGATGCCTGTCTGACTGCCCTCAACATCATGACATCTCCACACATGCCCAAAGCGGTTTACATTGAGGATGTGATTGAGAGAGTGTTGCAATACACCAAGTTCCACTTGCTGAATACTCTATACCCTCAGTATGACCCAGTCTATAGGGTGGATCCTCATGGAGGTCAGCATTATCTTTAAACAAATACATAGTCATTATCTTAGTGAACATCATAACCACACTGTTTGATCTGAGTTTAACTGAGTTTTTAAATGTTTCCATTATTGGATGTAGGTGGTGTCCACAGTTCAAAATCCAAAAGGGCCAAATGTTCCAGCTCTAAACAGAAGGTGGTAGTAAAGCTCTACAATAAAGTTTGTGATATTGTGGGCAATATGTCAGAGCTCCTTGAGATTCAGCTACTCACTGATACTACTATTCTCCAGGTAGGACCTTACTTACTTACAAAAAAAAAAGCATTAATGTTTGATCCTTGTGACTTGAATTATTTGTTATTCTGATCAGGTGTCTACATTGGGCATTACCCCTTTCTTTGTTGAGAATGTCAGTGAGTTGCAGTTATGTGCAATCACACTTGTGACAGCGGTATGTAATGGATTTATTAGATTTTATTTTTTTTTAGATCTTGTACCTTTTTTGATGTTATTATATAATACAGACATGTCTTTCATTATACTTTTCATTATTGCAATATTAAATGTTATATCTATCTAGGTCTTTTCACGTTATGAGAAACACAGACAGCTAATTCTTGAAGAGATTTTCACCTCCCTGGCAAGATTGCCTACGAGTAAACGCAGCCTCAGGAATTTTAGGTGATTCATAATTCATAACTCAAGTGGTTTTATTTTAATGCGAACAAATGTTTATGAGACATATTCTACTCTTAGGTTAAGCAGTGACTCGGATGGTGAATACGTTTACATCCAGATGGTTTCTGCCCTTGTCCTTCAGCTCATTCAGTGTGTGGTACAATTACCGTCTGAAAGAGATGGAGAGGAAGAACACAACAAGAAGGTACTTTTCAAAATCTGCATTTTCTCTTTTTATTTTCTGTTACCATTATTATTAAAATGTGTTTATTATGTGCTAGGTTGATAAAGATGTCCTAATCACAAATGCTTACGAAACAGCTATGAGGACTGCACAGAATTTTCTGTCGGTTTTTCTTAAAAAGTAAGTTGGTTTCTATAGAAACATCGGCTTTATGTTTAAAAAAAACTGTAATTATTAATTTATTTCAGGTGTGGGAGTAAGCAGGGTGAAGAAGACTACAGGCCTCTGTTTGAGAACTTTGTCCATGACTTGCTTTCCACTGTTAACAGGCCTGAATGGCCTGCTGCTGAATTGCTGCTCAGCTTACTGGGACGATTGTTGGTCAGTACTATTTATTTAATTTATTTTATTTTAACAAAAACATTCTTAATTAAAAGGCAAAACAAATTCTCATCTTTTGTCTTTTTAACACCAGGTTCACCAGTTCAGTAACAAACAAACAGAAATGGCACTCAGGGTAGCATCACTGGACTACCTAGGCACTGTGGCCTCTCGCTTACGCAAAGATGCCGTCACAAGCAAAATGGATCAAAAAGTCATTGACCGCATCCTAAAGGAGGTAAATTCAAATAATTTAGTCAATGGAATAAGTTGTTAATAATTGGATAGTTAACTGTATGTTAAATTATATTGACTGATCTCGC